ACCCCCTACATGACACACCACTTTTAGCTGAACCAATCTTTCATATAATATTTTCCAAAGGTACTATACGAAAGGTACTATAGTGTTAACGACCAATTTTCCACTTTTGAGAGATTTTTTAGTGCTGGTAGCTGAGGAATAACCTTTCATATTGATCCAAAAGGATTGAGACGTTACTGTATTTATTTTTATAATGTAGAAGTACACCGATTGCAGGAAACGATGATGTCTGACATTTCAATGTATCTAGAAAAGACAATTAGTTTTTCATTAGGCCTAATGTAATGGACAACTCTTTCTTTCTTAAGGAATATCTAAAGATGTTTATTTCCATACCCATTGATTATGTAACTTGAACAGGTGACTCAAGCAGTTTTAAAATAATGATTGTTCTGTGGAACTTTTGATTGTTTCAAACAGTTTTGCTTATCAAAAATCATCAAGTAATTAATATATAAAAAATTATACAGTCACTAAAAATCATGAAATAATTTATTTTTGTAAAAAAATACAACCGACTTCAAACGCTCTAAAAAGAATGAAATAATTTCAATAAAGTAAACTTTTGTATTAGGCAAGCTCACGTATTTCAAGTCGGCGCGGCTCAAACTGCAAATATGATTGAAATTAAATATTGTGTGTGTATTTTGAAAATCAATAAATTGTAGCTGGATAACATAAATATATAAAAAACATACTGAACTGTGTTGTTCAATGTGTTTGTTTAATGTGTAAATATTAAAGGAAAGATTTTCTTGTATTTTGTGTTTACTTCAGAATAAATGCATTATGAAAATAACACACACAAATGTTCTATATGAATAGGAAAATAATTTAGTTTGATATTATGATAGGGAAAAGAAGCTAGTTTAGTATTAAAACGTTACTTTTCCAAGTTAGAAACATTTAAATGCGTTATAATCTTTTTAAAGATACTCGTTAATACCACTATAATACCGATCTCTGATTACGGCAATAAAATAACACTTAACGCATAACTATGAAAAAGGCATGCAGATTAACACCTTTAGTTATAGATAGTCACCTGCAATATGGACACCCTCTTTTAATTTTGCATCAAAAATCATCATAGAGCCGACTTAAAATACGTGAGCTTGCCTTATACAAAAGTTTACTTCATTGAAATTATTTCATTCTTTTTAGAGCGTTTGAAGTCGGTTGTATTTTTTTACAAAAATAAATTATGTTTACTGTAGTTTGAATTTTCAATACAAGAAATAAACATAATATATGGTTCAAATGCTAGATCCAATACAAGTACTCGTATTGTGCCTCATTTCATCTTGTACTCATTTCATCTTGGTTTAGAATATCGATATATACCCCTTATTAAATTATGACTTACCCTGACATTTTTGCTGGTGAAAAACAGTTTTATTTTTTCACAGTTCCATAGCTAAACAGCTTTAATAACAACACGCTTTACACAACCCATTGTTTTTAATTACAGTACCTAAATCGTGTAGCTTGCTTGGTTTTGGATTATCATTCAACATGTATTTTCAAAAAGAACTTTGTAGAAACAATACTTTTTCAGCTTCATGATGATAAAAACTGTTTCACAGTCAAGCACTTGGTTTTATAGCAAAATTAAATATTCTCATTTCTCTTGTGACTTATTGATTTTGAATGAAATCGCAATTATTGTTAGCCTTATTAGTTTTATTCCAGTTCAGTGCTTTTGATGGATTTATTTATTTTTATAATAACAAACAAAATTTAATTGCTATGTACCACATCAAGTCTTAAATTAGTCGTATATGAGTTTTGTCATTTTTTTTACATTTAAGTTAACACTATTCTTATGATTTTATAATATTCAATTATTTTTACCAATACTACTAAAAATGTGATTAAGATAAGACGATTTTTGCTATAATCCATAAGTTTCTGTAACTACAATCCTATACACCGTGTCCCAAAAAGAATGGATCAAATCTATAGCTTAATTTACGTGTTACCAAAGGTCCTAGAAAAGTCAACTATGGCTAATTTTAAAGCTGATATCTTAAGAGTTTCTTTCGGTTCCCTTCAACAGAAATCAGCTGTTCCATTGTTGTAGGCTGCTTAACATTTTAAAACATTAAGTTGTAATAAATAGAGTTGCAGTTGAAAGCACGGTGTATTGGATGATTTGTGAAGATAACATCTGTGGTGTGAATTTTTAGGTCTTTGGTTTTGTGAAAGATGAAGTGTGTCTATTGCTCATTCATCTCAATTATAGATCAATTTAAAGCAAAGATAAGGTAAGCCTTTGGAAAAATTACACCACAATGTGCAGTAAGATTTGGAACATGTACTTGATTTCTTTCACTAAATAGCGGAGAACATGTATAGATTAGGCAGTGAAACAATGGTAGGAAAAACTTATGAAGCTAAGGAAAAAAGTGTATATAAAGTTATCTTTAATAATAAAGTATTTGTGCAAGTTTACTTTTGATCCATTCTTTTTGGGACACCCGGTATATTTCATATGGTGTTGTGTAAAGAATAAAAACTTAATGTAAATTATTTCTTCTAAGTTGTATTACACATCAACTCCCTGAATCTTAAGGGTCCATTAACTGTTCCAAAAAAGTCCCCATTCCACAACTAAGAAGAAATAGTCTTTAAGGATTTTACACCGTTTAAACTTTTTTGTACAGCTAGAATTAAGCTAATCTCAATTCTGGTCCACGCATTTATCTACGAGGCTACTTCCAGAACAAATCGACGTCTACCATTCATAACAAACAAATGATTTTGTTTAATGAGTGGTTATTTTCATCAACCTTTTAAATGCTACGGAAAATATGACAGATGTTTTTACCCTGCACGTTCGTAATTAAAGCTACCTGTTAAAGACGAAGTAGATTTCTACGTTTTGGTAGACTATGACTATACTAGTACTGTACCTGGTTTGGTCTAGGGCTAGGCTGTTTATGTTATTGACCGCGCCCTTTCTATAACTCTAGTTGATTTCAAATTCCCCGCCATTAATCAGCTCTGATGTGGGTTACGGTTCAACCTTGAAAATTCAAGGCCAGACTGAGAATAAAACGGGAAATTCTGTGGTCAGTGCAAAACTTGTGGGAGGTGTAAATTTCTTTGTCTAAAACCTGATTAAAACTTGTTCGAATCGCCTCTCGTTGACCTTGTGAGATTATGCAAATTTCCAACCATTCCCAAAAACTCAGAGTAGTTACTCCTTTGTTTGTTGACAGTAATTTGGTTTTAGGTACATGAGATTAAGAAACTTTATTTTACCTACGACCGTTTTTTAAAGTAGCCATTTCAGTTCAGTTCTTAGAATTGAAAAGTTTCACTTTACAGCTGTTTACTTTCATATCAGCATAGTTTCATTTCATATCAGCATAGTTTTTCTCATATCAACACAGGTAACGGACCAATGAGGTTCAAGTATTGAGAGAAAAGAATTAAAATTGTAATGCTTCGAACGTCAACTAATCAGCTGATCAGCTGACCAGTTGACTAATTTAATTGTTGATCCGACTTGTTCATGTTGATACTCGCGTATTCTTAATTAAGTTAGTGGAAGTCCAAAAATAAATGAAATATTTGCCGAATTGTACCTGATACAATATAATTTATGGTAAGAATGCTGCAGCAATGTAATATATGGTAATATTTAACGAAGTTTAACAAACACGTAATTACAGGAAATCAGCTGATTATACAACAAGTCGTTGCATCACTTTCAGTGGCAATGACAATACACGAAAACATAACCTCTCTAAAAAGTTATCAGTAGTGATTGTTAGTAATTAAATCCAAATTGAAAGTAATTAAAAAACGGTCGTAGGTAAAGTAGTGTACGCAACTCTCGTTAATAGTCTTTACGACACTCGTAGAAGTTTTTAAGGCACTCGCCAAGGCTCGTGCCTTAAATTTTCTACTCGTGTCGTAAAGACTCACTTAACGCAATCGTTGCGTAAACTCCTATTTTACCACAGCCCATGTGTTTAGAGTATAGTGGCAAAGGGTCTGACTTAGGGGAGGTACGAATGAGGCATTAGTTCAAAATTCCTCCGTGAACAGCGCTGTAGTAAAGAGTACTTTGGCAAAGAAGGTTTACTAATCGCAAAAATAGTTCTGTTCATAAAATAAAATTATAAATGCCTCAAATTCAATTTTATTATTTTTTAATTATAAAATTAAACTATCATAACCTAACCGAACTAACCAAACTTGCTGATAATGAAATAATATAACAAAAGTTTATTAATAGAAAAAATAATTCTGTTTATTAAATAAAACTAGAAATTGCTCTACTAAAATTTTATAATGATTTAATAATAAAATTAAACTGTCATAACCGAACTAAACCAACCAAACTTGCTGATAATAAAAAAATCTTGGACAAAAAGTTAATGCCACGAGCGGGATTTGAACCCGGGACCTTCAGCATATCAGCCCGGCACGCTAACCATTAGACTACCGAGGCCGATGACCACTGATCGTTTTGTTACGGTAATGGCGTTCCCTCAGCTAATAAGAAGCCCACAGCTGTCATCGTAGCCTCTTCTATACCTCCCCTGAGTAAATACCTAGTGGCAAATGGATCCATCGTAGAGAATCGTAGGGTTTTGTATCGCAGGAACTATTGTTAGAGGGAAAAATACATTCTAACAAAGATGGAAAAGATCTGTCAGCGTGTCTGCGGCGATCTTGAAGGTACTGTGTACCCTTGTGACACCACCGTATATGAAAGGTATTATACGCAAAAAATTGCAGTTTCATTTACAATATGTTTTAGAGGGGGAGGTTATACTCAATTATTTGATGCATCTCTATTTTCGCATAAAAACCCCCAAGCATTATAATGCTGCTACCTTTTAGGTTCACCCTTCCGGTTTTCATTTGAATGTTGGATAGTTTTGAGAGGATGCTCTCTTAATTTACCCTCCAAAATGAACATGATGAAACCCTTATTAATAATGTAAGGCTCTGCAGTATGTATAATTTAATAATGGTTTCAGGTGCTAGGCGCCACTGCATTTGGCTTCGTCATCATGGGGGTCGGCCTCATCTTCGGCATGCCCACCATAGTTATAGGGGAGTTGGCCAAACCTAACGCCACCATGATCCATGGCGTGGAGCTTGACGAGTACTCAGCTTCCTGGTTCGGTAAGAGAATACACCATAGAAATACCCATAGCTAGTCACGATTGTCAATGGCTTGATAGGGCTAATTCTATTTGTAATTTTGAGTCAGTTATTTTTACTAGCAGGATACAATCATAACGTCTGCATCGCGGATTTAATAGTTAAAAACTGTTAAGGCATTTCAATGGTCAAAATATCATAATGAAATTTAAACATACAAGCTATTTTGTTTGAATCTGCGATTGCTGCAGAAAATATTTTGAATCTTTTCACCTATAAAAGAAATGTTGGGCAACATTTTGAAAATACATCTTTTAAATAACTTTAGTTTAATTACTACAGTTTAATTAATTTCATAACTATTTATTAAAATTAAGTCTTTAATCATGTAGGATTTAAATTTTGTCTAACAATAAACAACAAACATATTATAATAACGCACCCGTAGGATACTATTCTTTACATTGCTACACAATATGCTAGGCTACACGTATTTTTCACCCTTAATCCTTAAATTTTTTCTGTACGTTTAAAGTTTCTTAATCTGGTGAGTAAAACTGTGAACCAATGAATACGGTACGCTTTTTATTATACTATTTCCAACGTTTGTAATTTTACTTGTACATTTTTATGAAGGATCCGCAGTTGCATTCAAGATAAACTTACATGTTACATTAATATAATGCAACCATAAACAGGATTAAATTTTAAATTTTGAATATGTAATTTTTATTTTTATTAATGTAAAACATACAAACGAACCTACTCACTCATTTCGTTATGTATGTTACGGCATTTCTGTTTTATATAATATCCCTTGTTATGTTATATAACCATGCAACTGGGTTCCGTTTTTGAAATAGTTATATTTAACTAACTCTTAAGGTTCCCATGCAGGTAATTAAATTGCCGAATTACTTTTGTGAGAGCAATGATTCAAGGTTAGGCATTGTTTGGTGAAACTGGAGAGAGAAATGAATCTGGGAAAGTTGCGAAACTTCATTTAAATTTTAAATATCTCTAAAGACTAATTAAGTGGGTACCAATTACAAAGTACCAATGTTACTTATGTGTAGCACGATAATTACTTTATTATTTTATATTTTAAACATTTCTATTAAACTATATGGCAGGCCTAGTAATAAATGATTTTTACTATGACGAAAATAAGGGATCAAAGAAAAGTGCTGATCAATGTTTTACATTTATACAGTTTGGCAAAATTGCTTATTTGAATCTGTCTTCAGGTGACATAGTGCATACAACTTATCAAACAGAACCTGGTCTCGGTGAAAGCTTGTATTTAGTGGGTTTAATACAGAAAATAGCAGCAATCGTTACTTAAATAACGTTACCAACAATGAACAACAAACACATAATAACGCACGCGTAGGATATTGTTCTTTGCATTGCTATACAATGGACTAGGCTACACATATTTTTCACCTTCAATCCTTAAATTTTGTCTCTACTTTGACAAGTTTTGATATACTATTATCAATAATAGAATCATTGATTGTATACATATTATTAAGGGTTCAATTTTTTGTATCACCACTATGTCATTGGCATCAACGATCACATAAGAACATTGGTCTTATGTGATCGTTGACTGGCATGTTGTTGTTATTATTTGTTAGTGCATTTGCGGTTGAAGCTATTGTTCAAACTGTTCCGAATTGCCGGTTTACACTATCTGCAGGTGTCATCCTTGAATGGTACGATTCTAATCTAAACCTGTAGATCTGAAGCATGTGTTAATTATTTTCAAAAGTCAAGTCATGATGTATTGAGATCATTTTCCGCCATACCGAAAAAATACAACAGACTTGTAATATTAGAGTTTTCATTTTAATTGTATGAATAATTAATTACCTACACGAGTTGTATATTTACATCCTCACATTACTAAATTGTTGAAAGGATTACCAAGGCATATAAGTCACTTCTGGTTTCAAGGCTGCATCTGCCTCAGCACTCGTTGAGGAATGCAGTTTTAGTCGTGAGCAAATGTGGATAATTGATTTAAATATTGATTACAATTATTTCTATGGTATTTACTGCGCATCTCCCTTCGTCTATACGACATATTATGCAGTTTCATGTTTTACAATACAAATTGCTGTACAAGTAGTAAACACATCGTGGGGGCAGGTTTTTGTACAACCTTTTTGTGATACTAACTGTACTTTTGAGATTTAAAGTAGGGTACTTATCATAAACAATCATTCACCAAACATCCTCATAATTTCCCATTATAGTTTTTATATGGCCAGAATGAAAATGTATACGAAACAAAAATCCCCATAAAATTAGGTTGGTAACTAAAATGTTCCTATGTTGAACCATTCACAACAGTTTTAAGAAAAATGAATTACGATAATGGAAAATTTTGTAGGTAATAGTTTTCTAAAGTAATACTCCTTCAAATCCATTCAACACAGCAATGATATCCAATGACAAATTGACAAAATATTGCCTTAATGCAATTTATAATATTAAAAGGAATTAAAAATACACTTAAAAGTTCCCCAGAAATGTATACAAAACATTTTGCCCTACCAAACTCCTCTCATAAGAGACGTTATTTACAAATTGTTATTATGATTTAGTGCGTTGTCTTGCTGAGGGTTCACGGTATGCCACACCTCACTGTATATATAACTAGGTGAATATTAAAACAAAGATTTGTTGAACGCCAATTCCCAAGTCTAGAAAGGCTCGAGGTTATCACAGTCACGACTGGACATTGTTGTCGGCCAATTCGCTAAAATGACGTCATGACGTGCTTAAATCACAGCTGATCTAATCAACATCTAGATAGAGAATTTCCATATGCTTTTGTTTATGACGTGGAACGTGTTTAATCTTTCTGCGGTAAATCAATTTTCGCAACTCCAGAAACATTGATAAACTAAAGAACAATTCTTTTCATCACTCTGGGATTGTCATTACTTCAGTACTAGTAGTTAAATATACTATTTATGGTTCAACGAGAAATTCCTTGTTTATTTTTCTGTTTTTGTTTTTTTTTTTCAAAAAGTTTAAACCGTCGGTTCATACTTCTTAGTATTTTTTTTCGGTTAAGTAGTTTCTATTTTTGCTGGTTATAACAATGTGAATCGTCGTTATGCAACAAATCAAGGTTGCATAATGATTTTGTGTGTTTAATTTATCCAAGCCAATGTTTTTAAGTGCAATAAATAACCTTGAAAATCTAAAACTAAATTCCAAAAATAAGTTATTTGTTAAAGCTAAATCACAATTTGTGTTGTGTGTCAGTATGTCTACAGTTTTATTTGTTACGTTACTTTATGAACTATAATAGTTCAGTAGGCTACTTAGTCTCCTTTAATTAAACAAGGCAACTGCCAACCACCTCTACCAAAGATGTTGTGCTACACATATTTAGGTATTCTACAAATTAAAGCAATACAATTTACATGGAGAAATCGGTAACAGTTTCATTATCATCAATCAATGTTCATGCAATCTACATTAACCGACATGTTATGATTTTAAGTACAGTATAAACATTATGTGTTACAAGTTAGCAAAATGATGCAAATCATATCCATACAGCGAAACAGTGTTCCACAAAATACCAGAACCGAAGCCGACACGACCTTGAAAATATGCTATCTAATCCTGTGATTCGTTATGTAATCTCCGTGTCATTGCACTCTAGATGCGAGTATAGTCTCGTGTTTGACCTACTAAGCAGAGTTACGGCTTACGTAACACTTCTACAACACATTTACCATAGCACAACACTGCATTCTCTTCAATCTCTTGCCTAAAATATGTTAAATATTATCCTGATCAACAAACTAAACGTTACTATTATCAAATACAAATTTTAGTTGATTTTGAAACAATCTGTAGCATCGCGATGGGACGGTAGTTTGCTGTGTAGTTGTGACACCACACGTGGGTTACGGCCGTGAAAGGACGCTGGGCTGTTGCCAATGTTCAAGGTCTAGGTGGATGTAATATTTTACATAGAGCAATTATACTTTACAGGGCGGGGCTGTTAGTCACTTTGGTTGTCTGTGGAACCTGTTTTCAATTTTTTGTAAAGTTTATTTATACCTCACGTGACTAGGTGGTGAATATTTTATTGCAGTTTTTTTTTTTTAGGGTTGGCTCTTGGCAAATATTTCATTGTTCAATATGATTAGGTAATTGATTTTGTTAGTAATTATGTTCTTTTAACTATCAATAAATTTAATTACTATGTATGAAGTTAATCAAACTTTGGCAATAACACATTTTAAGAGATGCATTATACGACTAGAAACCAAAATTATTTATTCTTATATTTACAGTTGCAAAGCGGTTTATAGAAAAATAACTATTAATTAGATATATTCATAGATTAAACACCTATGTGCATTTTCAGACAAAAATATGTATTTGTTATCGGTGTTGGCCGCTCTTCCTCTGTAAACTGCAGTGAACTGTAAGGTTCCTATCCAACTGGTTTGTGATTTATTATTTACAAAACCTACTTATCACCCAAAACACACGAATATTCTGTGCATGTAAAATATATTACAAATTCGGTCACTCGGACATGGTAGGTCTACCAAAGTTACCAAATAGTACTCAGTGCGTGTGGGAAGCACCCTCTCTCATCCATGTTACTGATTTACATCCTGTACATAGTACTGATTTAAATTTCAATATTCCCTTTTTATTGCTTTCTATTGACTTTACACCCTCGATCCATTGTAACTATTTTCATATACAAATCAATATAAGCACTAAAAAAATGTATTAAAATAATAAATTTTAGGAAATTATACAAATTTGATGGTTTTTCTAACACTAAATATTGAAAACAATTTGTTCAGCTCATTTAAGAAAAAAGTGTTATTTTCCATAGTATTCAATTGCTATTTACATTTTTAGATGTGGCACAATTAAATTAAGATAGTGTTTGTAGTTAAAACAGTTGTGCCAATGTGAACTAGGACTAGGATTGAATTTAAACTTCCGGTACAAATCCATCCTTGACCACAACCCAACTAAATTGATTAATGACTCAAGCCCAAGAATTCGCTTTTGATCATTAACAAGGTTATGACTAGACTACAAGGTGATTGGACACAAAATTGATGTATGTGTATTTCACCAATGAGTTTGGCAAATGTTTCATTATTTTAAGTATAATAAACGCACAGTCTTCATTAACAATACTAAGTTCCAGTAGGGAAAATCAAGTGAGGAATTAGGCTTCATTAATCATATCCACATGCATTTCTAAGCTAAATTAATTTAATTATTGTGCATTGATGTTATTTATCGTCATATTTAATAATTATGAATATTTCCCCCAATGATTAGTAAAATAATGTTTTCGAATTAATTTCTGTTTTTACAATCTGATCAGGTTCCTAAGTGAGGTTATGTCTTGAACATACTAAGAAGGCTTAATCCCTACTAGTTCAGCCATTAACATTAACTTTTAGATTAAGGGAAGGGTAGGCATTTATAATGGACTAGCTCTAGCCGGTTTTTATAAAAATGAACAGTAGTTGAATGAGCTAAAGTGTGAGGCCATATCAGACTTAAACTCTATCTTCGTCCTAGGGTTTTGTTACTGTGTTAGTTGATGTGTCATTAAACAAGTGTTAACAATAAGTTTGATCTTGCTCTGTGTCTTGGTAACAAAGTTGGAATATGATCGAAATCAGTGCATAACAGTAAACAACAGCCACTCTGTTTTGGCTAAATGTTTGTTCATTTTGCATTTTAAAATTTTCTACAGCGTTATCAGAGAAAATTAAAATAGAGTCCCGAAGTCAAAGGTTTCGCTGATGCCAGTTAACCAAGATATTTTAGTAAGGTAGGTACTATTCTAAGGACAATTATGATCTAATCAATCGTGATTAACAATTGTTACCTTCCTTACTAGCTAGCATCGACTACGGATAGAACTACATTCCATAGCCGACCCCTTCATCATTTTAAATCATAAATTCTAGTTTTTGTTATTAATTTCAAGTTAACATGAATTAAATTACAAGAGTCATCCTGTAAATCATTATGTGATGAGTTACCCTTGCTTTAATGTGATTTTAATTACTATTATCATAGACAAATAAGAATAAATTAATATAGACTGTCAAAGGAAGGTTCCGCAATGTGCCGCTAGAGCGTGCTCAGTGTTTGTCGTGTCGCTGCCGTCGTTGACTCACTGTCTGCTACCAGCACTACCACCCTTGCAAACGAAATGCTACCAAGGTATCAGACCCACTTTCAATATAGATGAAGTACAACATTCTGAAATCACATCATTTTAATGGAAAAGCCGTTTTTCATCCCCAGAAATTTTTAAAACACCAAAAAACAACGGAACAAACTCCTACTCCATGGATTCTGGGGAATTCTCCAGAAGTTGGAAACTCTGGCTTTAACTACCAACTTGTCATGGACACACTCATTTGAGCTTGACGCTGCAGCTGAAATTACAAGGCACTCCTAGCTGTGGACGCCAGAATATATGCTAACCGCAGCACAGCACTGCTGTCGGTCTATTTAATTCTTTTTGTCTATGCTATTATTATCTTCCTTTACAAACTACCAACTACGGTACCTTATCCTTACCCCCCTGTTTGTCTGCAGGCAGTATAATCTTCATCAGTCAGCCGGTGGGCTCCTTAGTGTCCGGGTTCCTGCAGGACATGTTTGGCCGCAAGAGATGCATGTTGGTAGTCAACATCCCCCAGCTGATTGGGTGGCTGATGCTGTACAGCGCTACTAGTGTACCCTGGCTGTACGCTGCTGTCACTGTCATGGGTCTCAGCGTAGGCTTCATGGAAGCCCCCGTGCTGTCCTACATCGGAGAGATAACTGAACCGCGCCTCAGGGGTGTGCTTTGGTAAAGGGTTCAAGTGTTAAAAGAACTTAGTTTATAAGAGTTCCTAAGTATTTAATGAACTTAAAATTTCATATTGTTGTCGAAAAGCTGGATTCAATAAATAAAAAAGCAGAATGTATTTGGGCATAGACAAATAGAATAAAATATACACTGTCAAAAGGTTCTGGCGCCCACCGCTAAGAGTGCCGTGTAGTTACGGCGCACACTGCTGCAGGTGAGGAGCGCAGGAGCCGTATGCAACCAGCAGACACTGCACCGGTGTGTGCAGTAACTACACGGCAAACCTAGCGGTGGACGCCAGAACTTATGCTAACCACAGCACAGCTGACGGTATATATTTATTCTATTTGTCTATGATATGGGCCAAGTAATCTATGAATATGTACCTAGTTGATTGGGCTTTGGTTTTCATGCGCCATCCACTCTTCCTTTTTGGTTCATTTTTTTCTCCAGAGCTAACTAAATTCCACAAAAGTTTGAATTTTAATTAGTTTGCTTAAATTCAAATAACCTAAGAATAGAATATTCTCATGAGTGATATAGTCAAAGCAAAAGCACACTTCACCGAAAGACAGACAGGTGTATTACATAGATTGATGTTTACAATGGCAAAACTCCCTCTCTTATGTGTATAAGAACTACAAGATTAAAAGGTTATAAAATTTTGTAATTTTTTGCAGAGATGACACTGAAGAGTAACTTTTTGCAATCCATAAGTTAAATTAACATGTCATAATAAGTTCTATAGCTTTAAAAAGTTTAACAAAAATCATGTAAATTAAATTTCAGCTCTATTGCTGGAATGTACCTTAACATAGGCATCATGCTGGAGTGCTACATCGGTGCTCTTACTCACTGGCGCACAATGGCGCTCATCAGCGCTCTAGGTCCTGCGCTCTGCTTCCTCATACTCTCCCAGGTAACTTACTCACTTGATGTCTACTCTACTCTACTTAGTCTTACTTTTATAAAAATTTAGTATCAGACGTTATAGTAGTACCTAACAAATTGTGCTCAATTGGAAGATAATTTCCAGTGGTGGAGAACCATAGTAAAATCAAAGCTTAGCTACTCTAAGGATCTAATCAGCCTTAAAAAGGGTTGCTATCAGTAGATGGATTAATTACTTCTGGTTCATGTCCTTAATATGAGTTCTTTATGATTACGGGTAAATCTGTAAGACATCCACATCTAAGGATGAGCAGTTTAGAAAACATCTTTTTGCCATTCAAAATAAGGCATTTTCAGAAGTTCCTCCATCAGTGATGAATCAGTTGTGTAAACCCTAAAAAATAACGTTATTTGTAGTAAATTATTATAAGTCAACAGTAGGATACCTTATATCCGAAGACTGTTTCTGTCCCGATAATGTACCCATAAACATGGTTAGTCTATTCTAAAACTAAAGAATTTATATTTTGAATCTATGTTTACGATAGCAACAGGATTGCTCATAAGTATCAGAAGGTCATTTGAGTCAGGCGGTTAGCGCCAGTCGCCAGTCGAGCTGTAGGATTGTATCAGCAGCCTGAGAACATAACTCATAGTTCAAGGTGGAAATCTACAGGACTGCAGAAATAAATACATTTGGTTGTATTGGCTTGCAAATTAACATGATATGTCAGTTAAGTTTGTTTGTTATACAGTCGAGTATAATATTTTATAGTCTTCGCAGTTTTTCACATAAGTCACCTATATAATTGTGCAAACAATAGTAACCATTCTGCTGCTTGTTTTTTTTTTTTTTTTTTTTAGCATCCTCAATTGTTTTAACAATTTCTCCTATGAGCAACCGCAGATTATTTAATGTATCAATTTAAATTTGTTTCCTGACAACAGGTCCCAGAGTCGCCAGCCTGGCTGGTGTACAAGGGACGTATCGCTGAGGCGGAGCGTGCACTTTGTTGGTTGCGGGGATGGGTCGACCCATCACACGTCAGCAAGGAACTGTCATCCCTCGTGGCACATTTGGACAGGAGAAAGGTTACAATAGTCAAGGCTAGCCAACCCAACTACCACCAAGTGCCTTCCCAGGATGTTGGTAAGATATAAAACAGTTTATAAAAAGATCCTTCAAATTTTAATGTATTATATAGGACATAAAGAATGTAAACAAGAACTGCACCAAGTACCACTCATGCATGCTCAGTATCTTTTGTTTACGCACAAGCTCTAATGAAAATTCATATGAATAATTTAATCAAGCTCTACAGCAGGATAGTGTTGTAATCACTTCATTCTATTTGCATCAGTAAAAGTTATATAATGATGGTATGAATTCATTTTTTACGATACAAATTGTAATTACTTATTTATTCTGACATACCTCTTATCTATTGTCCATGCTAGTTTTGAAAATGGTAACTTTAATGTATATAAAATTATAAGTATAGATATATAATTATTTTTAAAGCTTTCACAAGTGTTCTAACAGTAGTAGTCATTGTATTTGCTTCTGGACTATCAATTATTGTTTCTTAAACATAATTTTAATGCTTAACTTAACTGATCTTTTGGTCTTTTTCATGTTTGAAAAATGACATGGTTTTTCACCTGACAGATGGGAGAGATTATTTATAAAATACTAGCTGTTGTACCCGTGCTTTGCAACGGGAAGAGGACACAAAATAGAAACATTTTAATCTTTACATCTGTTGCATATAATAGCTACAAATCTGCCAACGCTTTTAGAAACAAAATTCAACTTTTATGGCCTTAATAGAAACGTTTAAGTTATGACTTTTACATCTGGTAAGTAGTGGATACCACCATTTTGGGTTTGATTAATTTTAAATCTTGTGTAGGCTGATATGAGAAAAACTGACCAAATCTTCAAATAAAACTTTCACTCACATGATTTACCTTCATCTCCCTTAACTACATATCTTTTTTCTTTATTTTTGAGATTTTAAATTTCAAATTTGAAGTTGCAAAAATACTAATCATTAAATTTAAATGGACATTTTTTAAATTTCACTCTTCTTCATATTAAATCACAAATCCTTCCATTTTCAGTGTCTTCACTCACAATAAATCATTAGCAACACTAAGTCAACTGTTATAAACTTTAGAAATATTGTTATGCCTTATCAATAGTCTTTTGAAATGTTAAAGAAACTATATCTATATAGGTAGGCTACTATAAAAAATGTTAAACAAATAATTTAGCATTAAAGACAGCAGACAAAACTAATATGATTATCAAAGCATCAAGGACTAAAAAAAGTAATAGCAAATACAGTATATGTTTCATTGCATCTCTGATTCTACTTAATAAAAATATCAACAAACAACTTAATACAGAAACCAGTTCTTTTAATCAGTTCCATCCTCCATTGCCTTTACATTTTCACACTTACCATCAAGTAAACATATTAACAGATATTTCATCGAATTTAAAAACAAAGGAACACTGTGTACTGCTTAGTTTTATGATATTTTCCTTGGTTTGATTTAATCAGTGGTGTTTCAAAACACAAATAATAAATGTATCAAATAAAGTAAATGTGAACTGAAAGCTATGTTAAGATAAAATAAGAGTATTTTGTATTACCATTTGATAATTAATTATAGTTACACATATACAACAGATTTTAGAACACAAAAATCAACAACATACAATATAGTTATTGATGATATTCTTTAGTTTAATTGAAGCATAGGTTTAGCAAAACACAATAACTTAATTTACCTAAATATACATATAAAAAACAATGTGATGTGCAAGTTATGTTAAGTTAATCCAACACATGTTAAGCAGTTAGAATTTATTCCAAGTAGCTTCCAAATTCATACAAAACATCTATACATAGTCATTTTCATACTGTTTCCATGAAAGCATATCAATAACATTATTTTCATAACTTAGACGCTTTAAAAAATCCAAAGCAGAGCCGGAGTTGATACAACAACGGCTCTAGAATCTTTTTTTCTATAATCATTGGCATAGTTTTAGAATAAATAATCCATGATAAAAGGTTAGATTAAAATGAACCTACCTCATAGTTATGGAAAAGATTATATTTAATTTCATTGTATCAGCTGTCTGAAATTGTGAAATATGCAGTTTAGCAGTTCTTCCTTTTTACATTTAAATGTCAAAGCAAATGTAAACAAATATTGTTAGGATTCTCATCGCAGCCATGGAGACCAATCAATATGTACTTTTAAAATGTTCACCTCAGAACTTTTAAAGCCAAAGGGGGCAAAGCCTACGGTCAGTATCGAAATGTGAATAGTCCTATAATGGTTCTTGGTATGGTAGCTATATTTTTGTAAAATGTAAGCTCAGTTGGTTCAGTAGTTTTTTCACCTATTAGTAATACACATACAGACAGAGACCATTAGATTTTTATATAATAGTATAGATTATTCACTGTTTCAAGTTTTAATATGCTCATGTACTGTGCTAAATTTCAAAGAACAGGTATGTTATTGTCACTTTTGTTTATATCTGACACCACTATTTCCTGCTTGATGACATATGCTTTGGTCCTCAGGAGATAAGAAACAGAAGAACAAGTCAGAGGCCATGCAGAATCTACATCACTTCCTACAACCTGCCACTCAGAGACCTCTCAAGCTGATCCTCATCTACTTCTTCTGCTCACACTGTGCCTCTCTAATCGGAATACGGCCTTTCCTCGTCCAGATCTTCGACAAACTACAGATGCCCATTGACTCTAAATGGGTTGTGGTGAGTTAAAATGATACCCTTGTTGTTGCGATCTATTTTGATGGTTTGATAGTTCTTTAAAATAAAATAAGGACATTATTTTGAAAGAAGTTGAGTTACTAATTGTGTTGTAACTCGACACTATCAAATAATTTACCAACAATCACATAAACATACACGGTAGCCTGCAGTCATGAAGTCTTGAGCTGATATCAATTTGGAATTTTTTTGAAACAGCATGATACACTTGGGTGCATTTTAAGCTGATTATATGATGCAAGGTGAGCGTAGGGTGTGACATTACTTGTGTAATGTTGTTACTGACTAACAGCTGTTTAATTATGTTCCCAGTTTTTAACCAACAAAATCCTATTGACCTTACTCAGATTAAACAGAAAACTTTCTGTTTACTAGGAACACTTAAATCACTTCGCTACCCAGCTTTGTCAGACAAGGGTGTTGGGCCTAACCAGCCAGTTCATTGAATATATAACTAGGAGGGGGTTGCACCGGAGGGCCTGGTGGGACCCCCCGGCCTCCTGTGAAGGGGGGTCTGGGATTTTTTTTTAATTAATTATAACTGTAAACTCATGTTTTTAGGCTATTTAGGAACATTAAAAGAGATTAATAGAAACATTTTTACTGAAAAGAAATCACATTTAAAGGTCAAGGGGGGGGGGGTTCAACCCCCTAAATCCCCCCCTGGAATGCCACTGCTGAGGTATAAAGTTATAAATAATTTTAAAATATAGTACAGTAATTTAGAAGTGAAAAGCGCTTTGTGCAATGTGTTGAACAAATTTTAGCTTTTCCAACGAGATATCATAAACATAGTATTTCTTGCAAAGTATTAAACTGCAGCTGTAAACTGTAAAGTTTAATTTTAATTACGCTTATAAAGTGAGGCAATGAAAACTGTAATGGTTATTAAGTCGTCAGTTATTCAAACTTGTGTAAAACACCCTCGGCTGTGAAAGTTTGGAAACACTTCATAAAACAAACTGGACACTTCTTGATTAATGAGAGTTCTTTTATATAGTTTTTATCAACTTTTTAATTAATTTTTAGGACGGTCCATTAGTTTTCTAGTTTCTTATTTTATATACCTTAAAAACTAAAATAAATTAATTTTTACAAAAAACAACCATTCAAATAAAATCATCAAATAGTCCAACTGGAAGAACATTTACTACAACTGATTAAAACTATGTTTTTGCGTAGATAAATTAATATTATTCATCACTACTACTACTAAAAATATCCCACTTTGAAAGCATGATCATTGAACTTTTTCATGCCCAAAAGCTACATATTTTTAATATTTTTAAAGGGAAATATTTATATATTATTCTCCTTTAATAGAAATGAAATTAATTACCTGGACAGAACAAGGCTTTAATTTACTTAGGAATGATGCTAGGAACATGTTAGAGAGTTGTGTACAAACAGTCAATTAACAAAAACATAAATAACATATGATTTAACAATTTAGACATAAAGTAAAGAAGGAAAGGCAGAGTATCAAATATTACAACATTCTTCCCTCCTTAGGAATGAAAGTAGTCTTTCAAATAGACAGGAAGCTTCCGAGGTCTATTGCTTCTTCTAACTGGCTCGTTGTTATTTTTTAAACTATTATCTCTACTATTGGATTCGGATAGTTGGACAGTAGGGCCAGAATCTTGTAAAATAGGAGCATCAGTAGTAGTTTCGTCAATCTCGTCCACATTTAGTAGGTCTTTATTTTCAATGTCTTGCTCATGAGCTTCACTCACCTCAACGAAAGGAGCTAGATGGCGTGTTGAAACAGTAGTTTCTCTTCCATCTGGATATCTGATATGGGCGTATTCGGGATTTCCTTCTAAGAGTGTCACTTCTTCTACTAAAGGGTCAAATTTTGAAGTCCGGTTGAATTTACGTAGAAGAACGGTGCCTGGTGTTAAAAGCCAAGATGGAGTTGATAGGCCATTAGCAGAACGTCTTGAAAAACCAAACATTCTTTCATGAGGGGTGGTATTTGTAGCCGTACACAACAATGATCGAATAGAGTGAAGAGCATTCGGTAAGACTTCTTCCCATCGAGTAATGGGTAAACCAAGATCTTTGAGAGCTAGTTGAACAGTTTTCCAAATAGTACCATTATAGCGTTCAACTTGTCCATTATATGGTGTCGTCCTGCTGGTTGCAATGCCCAAGGTCATGAGCCACGTTTTCAATTCTTGTGACATGAATCCAGACCCTCTATCAGAATGAATGAACGATGGAGCACCGAAAACACCAAACAGTTGTTGAAGACATGAAATAACTGAAGATGATGAAGTATCACGACAAGGAAAAACAAACGGGAAACGTGAATACTCATCTATCACAGTCAGCATATACTTATTTTGAGAACGAGATGGAAGTGGTCCTTTTTAAGCCGGGTTTACACGATGCCAGTTGGCGAGACAATTGTCAGGAGACAACTGACTGGCTGGGAATTACTGGCTTTGTGTAAACACTTCAGGCCAATTGGCAAGCCAATTGCCCGCCAATTGTCCAGAAATTCAGTTGTCTCCGGTAGTAGACTGAGGACAATGAGCTGGGCCCAGTGAGGCCCCACCCCTCGAAAACCCAGTTGTCGTGACAATTGGTGCCGTGTAAACGGTGTAGAGGCCAATAGCACTGTCTTGTCTTTTGGCAGTAGTACCCTGGTTCACTGTAAAATGCCTGGGCAAGTGTTGGCCACGTGTAAACAGGTTCTCGTTCAACTTGCCTAGGCTACGACAATTCCAAAACCACGTGATGCCAATTGGCAAAGACAATTGTCTCGCCAACTGGCATAGTGTAAACCCGGCTTTAAAATCAATATTAAGCCGCTCAAAAGGGGCTGAGGCTTTGATGGGAGTGCCATGGTGTTTATGGAATTTTGGCTTTACTTCAGCACAGGTACGACATGCAGATGTTATTCGACGCACGTCTTCTACGGAGTAAGGAAGATTCTTGGTACATATCCAGTGGCTAAGTCTTGAAACTCCAGGGTGACATAGTAACTTATGGAGAGAGATAAGTTTTGCATCAGTGGAAGTTACAGTAGATGATACAGAACTGACTCTAGATAGAGCATCAGCTGCATGATTGTCTTTTCCCGGACGATACACTATGTCATATGAATAGCACGATAGATCTAGTCTCCACCTTGTAATATTCTCATTCTTGATCTTACTCCCATGTTTTAAATCAAACATGAATGCAACCGATTGTTGGTCAGTGATGAGTCAAAAGTGTCTGCCTAACAAGAAGTGTTTCCAATGTCTCACTGCCTCAACTATGGCATAAGCCTCCTTTTTGACAGCGGAATGGCGTTTCACTGAGTCTGACAGAGTTCGGGAGAAGAATGCTACCGGTCGATTTTGTTGACTAAGAGTGGCGGCTATCGTAGTATCTGAGGCATCTGTCTCCAAGCAAAATGGAACTTCATTATCTCCAGAGACGCTTTCTCTATATCATGTTTGAGATTCTGGAATGATGAAAGCGCTTCAGATAACGGCAAAGAACCTGGTTTCAGGAGCTTAATCTTTTCGGAAAAGCAGGGTATGAACTTGGAGTTGTGAGAGAACATGCCTAAGGCTCCCTTTAAAGAAGCAGTATCAGTGGGTGGGGGAAACTCTAAAAGTGACTGAAATCTCTTTGGATCAGGTCTAATAACACCATCACTGATGGAGTGACCTAGTAGGGTGATATTGCGTAGAGAAAATGAGCTTTCCTCATGGTTCATAGTTAAGTTGTATTTAGAAGCTGTTTGCATAAAATTTTTCAGATTTTCATCATGTTCAGTTTGAGTGTGACAGCAAGTTGTTATGTCATCAAGGTAAGCAAATGTATCTTTCAATTTTTCTTTTCTTATAATGTGATCCAAGGTTCTTTGAAAAGCAGCAACACCGTTTGTTGTACCAAAAGGGATTCTGGTAAACTGGTAGAGTTCCCCAGCAGCCTTAAAAGTAGTGTTTAGTCTGTCTTTTTCAGGAATAGGGACTTGATGATAGGCACTTCTCAAATCTATCGTACTAAAGACTTTGTAACGAGCAACTTTAGAGATTATTTCATTAATGGAAGGGATTGGGTAGGCATCCTATTCTGTGAAGCGGTTTATTGTTCTAGAATAATCTATGACCATCCTTTTCTTGTGATTTTGTGAAGAAGTAACAAGCACTTGGGCACGCCATGGTGAATTGCTCTTTTCAATGATTCCATCATTTAACAGCTTATTCACTTCTGCTTCAATGAACTGAGATCGTTGAGTGAATGGCGAATGGATTTGATAGCTATACGTTTACAATCAGAAGTCAGGTTGGTAAATAGATTAGCAGGTTCAACGTTTGCAGCAGTAAGAGCACTTACAACTAGAGGATCCTTATCCCCTCCAAACTCAAATTGAACTGATGAATGAAGTTGCAGTAAATCTCGTCCTACAATTATCTCTGAACAGAGGTTAGACATAACAGAAAGTTTGGTATGAGGGTATTTATGACCAAGCATCTCAAGAGTTACGTTGCAATTGCCCTAGTGATTTTTACTTTATGATTATTGGATGCTAATCCCACCTCTTCATATTCCTTGTGAATTTTCAAATTTAGTTGACGGGATACTTTGTCATCAATCAAGCTTAAGTCACTTCCAGAATCAAGCATACCTTTAACCTTGAAACCGTTAATAGTGGCAATGGTTTTAACTTTGGACTGGTGTGAGATAGAACAAGAAATTTCACACACAGAATTTTGAATAGCAGAAGTAGTTTTCTTTGATTGTGACCGGCAAACTTTCTGAAAATGGCCTTGTCTTTCCACAACTATTACAAGTTTGGTCCTTTGCTGGACATTTATGCGAGGATGTCTAAATCCACCACAAAAGTAGCATTTGGAACGCACAGCTCCTACAGCAGGGTCGTGACTAACACTAGTGGTTTTATCAGTAGCAGAGTCCTTAGTCAATAAGTCATTTGAAACAGCATTTATTGTTGCACAAGGAGTGTCATACTGCAAGGAATGTAGTTGAGCCATCTCCAAAGCTTGAGCATGAGCATCCGCCAAAGTCAAATTTTCATTTTCGAGTAGGCGTTGTCGTATTACAGGACTTAGAAGACCTCTAATAAATGAGTCACGAATACAGTCATCACGATTGCTTTCTGCTGTAACTGCTTTGAATTGGCGGTCGCGACTAAGTAGTCTTAATGATTCTAAATACCGGTCAACAGTCTCATTTTTTTCTTGACTGCGAGTAAAGAGTTTATGTCTAGCAAAAACCTCGTTTACAGGTTTAACAAATACATTTTTGAGGACAGTTAAAGCTTCATTTTAAGAATGGCATTGACTTACGTATTCATATATGGTAGGTGATATGTAATTGATAAGAAGACGAAATTTCTCTTCCTCATTAGCATTTGTACTTCTAATAAAATTTTGGAATCTGTGTTGCCAGTGATTTTTGTAGATGAACTGTTTGATTCTGGATTCAACTCTAGTATATTTGGACATAGAAGACGATCCATTCTTCTTGGGCTAAGTAAATTAATTTGTAATAGAAATGAAATGAATTACCTGGACAGAACAAGGCTTTAATTTACTTAGGAATGATGATAGGAACATGTTAGAGAATTGTGTACTAACAGTCAATTAACAAAAACATAAATAACATATGATTTAACAATTTAGACATAAAGTAAAGAAGGAAAGGCAGTGTATCAAATATTACAACATCTCCGGCACTTCAATTTTTTAAAATGGAGCACTGATTATTTGTAAATTAGCTTGTTGATCATATTTTTAGAGTTTAATTATAGTACACTATTTATTAAGTTATTGAAGATTATTTATAACATTTCAATCTAAAATATTGATAGTTTAAAAATCAGTACCTCATATGATTTTGAGACATATAAATCTTAAATCTTGAGATTTAGAGGCCTTAACATGTTCGCTACCAATGGTCACATTTATAACATGCTGCTGTTATAGACACAGAGGGAGACATTTTGATATTACACATAGACCGGGTGTCACTTGGTTAAAAGTACATGCAGACCACGGGCCAGTGATGCAGAAAAGCAAAAAAACTATTATATGACATCACTAATTATCATATCCACAGACCAAGTGACGCACATTTGAGACAGACATCCCTGTAGACCACTGCAAAGAATTCAGGGCATTCAAACAGACCATTACCAAGATATTTAATAGCATTGAGACACCAACGCAAATATGTCAGTCTATTTTAATTTGACCAGCCGTCGCATATATGTGTGTCGCTGGTCCAAATGAACGAAAACTTTAGTACTAATATTGCGGTATGGTAGCGAACGTGTTAGAAATGTTTTTGGACTTTTTTATGCTTGACAATTACTCCAAATTGGACTGTGATTTAGAGTATGTATGAAGGTCTAATCTGATTTGTTCTATGAAAAACCAAGTATCAATGTGATAAAATGTATAGATTGAGTAGTTAATTTTAATAAACTTGAAAAACCACCAAAGAACTAAACACTGAAATTGTCTCAAAGCCTCTACTGTATTAGGGACGCACATCCCTGTCACATATCAATGGAGTACTTGCATTACGCATTTTGGATTTCCACAAGTCCAGAAATTATGTACTGAATTATTTGCATGATCGTATTGTCAAGTTTAAATTAACTATGTATTGTCCACTTGACTCAACCACCTAAACTGATATGGCAATTATTCAGAGGCAGTACCTTTGGTTGATAAGCCAGACATAGGGGGTCCAAGCACTTATCACCACTAAAGTCATCACCAGAAGTTGTCAATGTGACTTACCCCATAATACTGCACTGTCTCTGTATTGTCACATTGTACAGTAGTCTAAACAGTACAGTAGTAACAGACAGTAGTAAGAGACTTTAATGGGGCAACAAAATGGTGCAACTTTAGTTCTATTAATTGACTTTATTTTATAGTACTTTTTTATGAACTCACTAACCTCAGGAGCAATTATTTCCCCTTAGGTAGTGGTGGGCACTCTGCAAGTCCTCGGAGCTCTAGGTTGTATGTTGGTGATGAAGCTGTTAGGCAAGAGAGGTCTATCTTTCCTCTCCATGTCTATCTGCGTGGTCTGCGCAGTTTCAATTTCTGCATACGTTGTGCTGCAGTACTTTGAACCGTGGGTGCCTATGGTTTTGTTCTGCTTACTGTTCTTTGCAGCACAGCTCGGCATCGGGTCCATCCCTTGGATGCTTATTAGTGAAGTGTTTCCTATTGAGTGAGTAATTTGTTTTCTTTTATTTGTTGTCTAGTTCAATATTTTCTTAAAATTTGAAAATAATAACAGTATAAATAGTGTATACAACAAAATAATTACAGTGTGTGAAAATTGTGTCTTCAGATGTTCAAAAACGTAAAAAAGCAAAGTAACATATTTCTTTTACGCAAACAAATTTGTTTGTGCTCCTTTAATTTCAACAGATAGAAATAAAGCTTTGTTACGACCAAAATTATTTAGTTGCTGAATAATACATGTCAGAATAGCAGTTCAATTTTTCATTTTAACGTTAGACTATAGATGGAGTAACAACATTCGAAAAGTAGTTAAACAAGTGTTTAAATATATGCAGGAGTTAGTTAGTAGAGGATGTGAGAATGGCAGGGACACAGTTTGTGCTGGTTTCGAAACTAGTATTTTTGTACCCTTGAATGTGACAACCCACTAAGTCAAACCTCAATAAACTTCCATTGGTGAGGATTTTAAAATCATGGATATGGATATGAAGGAATTGTTATGTTAGTTCTTTTAACGTTGCGATACTACAAGAAAATTCTTACTTACTTACTTACTGGAGTGGCCACTGGTACCCTAAGAGGTACTTGGCCTCGCCCACACACTGCCTCCAGATGCCTCTGTCTTTAGTGTCATTTTCACTCCTTCCCAGTCTTCTTACATCTTTTTGTACTTGATCCTTCCATCTCAGTTTGGGACGGCCTCGTGGTCTCCTGCCTTCGGGGTTTCTATCAAGTACATTCATCAAGTATATTCGTAGTGGAGTCTTCCTCTCTTCTCGAAATATGACCAAACCATCTCAATCTTCTGCTCCTGACTTACGCTATGATGTCAGGGTCTTTATAGCGCTCTCTAATCTCGATGTTGTGTCTCATTCTCCATATTCCATCTTCGAGCGTCGGGCCATATATTTTCCTGAGAACCTTGTTTTCAAATGTTATAATTTTCTTTTCTATTTTTTTGCTCGTTGCCCATGTTTCTGAGCCATACAGTAAAACCGGTCTTATTATTGTTTTATAAATACGTAATTTGGTGTTGTGGGATAATAATTTTGAGCTTAACAATCTATTGCATGCATGGAGGGACCTGTTAGCCGAATTTAACCTGTTTATTACTTCCAATTCTTCATTATTGTTGTCTGATAATAGGACTCCTAGATGAAAACTATTTACTTTCTGAAAAGAGTGGCTCTCTATCTGTAAGATATCATCATCTTCATCATTTTCTTCTCTACCATCCCATCTTCCGCACTTCATGAATTTTGTTTTACTGTCATTAATTTGAAAGCCAAATTTTCCTGTTTCTTCTACTAATATTCTAATTAATTCTCTGAGATCATCCTTCTTGTGTGCCATTATGGCTACTTCATCTGTAAAAGCTAGTATATTAAATGTTTTTCCAATAATTGTTATGCCTATGTCTGGGGATTTAACTTTTTGTAATGCTTCTTCTAAGTGCGATGTTAAACAGCATTGGTGACATCCCATCTCCTTGCCTTACGCCGGTATTGACACTAAAGTCCTTTGATAACTGTCCTTCTACTTTAACTTTACATTTTGAATCCTTTACACTTAATCTTGCGAGTCTGATTAGCTTATTGGGTATTCCCTGTTTCTCCATTATCTCCCATAATCTATTCCTGTCAAGGCTGTCATAGGCTTTAGTGAAATCTATGAAGATGCAATAGAAAGACTGCTTGTATTCATGATATTTGGCTATTGATTCTTTAAATATGTAAATTTGATCTGTTGTTGACTTTCCCTTTGTGAAACCAGCTTGGTGTTTCAAAGAAAATTCTGAAGATAGTAATTTAAATCTTGAAAAGAACTGCATAGTAATTGCTCGATTTTATTTGCAATCGGTGATGAATTATTATGGGATGCAATAAAGTCAAATGCAGTAGTCCTATATTATTGTAACAAATGGAAACTTCAAACTGTAAGCTAAAGTTGCTACAATGGTCATTCTGTGAGTAAGTAAATTTTCAAAATTACTACTCAAACCACCATTACTACTTTACCACTAACATGAATGTAACAGGGGTCGCGGTATCGCTGGTGGAGTGTCGGCTGCGTGCGGCTACAGCTTCATATTTGTAGTGACCAAGTCCTACATCTACCTGGAGCACTGGTTCAACATCTGGGGAGCTTTATTAGTCTACGCTGTCATTGGACTGTGGGGCATCGCCTACCTGTACTACTGTCTACCTGAAACCGAGGGCAAGACACTGGCAGAGATCGAACCTTACTTCATGACCAAGAAGGAGAGGATGGAGAAAACACCCTCACTCAAAAATGTTTCCGTTCCTGCTTAACAGTTTAATTGGGACCTTGAGAAAAAAGAGTCGGGGAGGTTGCGTCTAACGTTATTTTTAGTTTTGGTACCTACAATAGTGAATTTAAATTTAAAAAATACGATAATTGAATCTTTACCTCATGCAAGAAACAGAAAAGAGATCATTTTCAACTTTGTCTATTTTTCAGACCTACCACAAATCACAACTATTTTAAAACTCTTGCAGTAACTTTTGTCTTAAACTCTCTTGACTTGAATTTACAGACCCAGAATCTGTTTTAAGAATTCATGTTTTTATGGAAACCTTTTGATATAATATGAGCTAATAGATTGTCATTATGAATTTACATCCTGATTAGCTAATACAAAAACTAACCACACTCGGTTGTAAATGTATCATCTTTGTAGACAAGCTGAAGACAGAAAGTATTTTAATGTCCCTTTACCTTGATGATTGAGTAAGTCAATATCTTAAATGTCTTGATGACTTGAAGATCCCTACAACCAATCTATGTGTAAGCTACTGCCACTCTTTCACCATTTTGATCAAAGATTAAGGAACAATCTCATAACTAAACCTAAACCCAAAGCAATGCCGGTAGTAAAAGTTGTCTAAATCAATCCATGCAAGCGTTCTAGACATTAAACATCACCAAAACATGCTTCAAATTTTACCACAGGCAGGGCGAGACGGCTACTTTGTATGCAATGTCAGTGTTGATTCTTATCAAATGAAAAACGTAGACTGAAGTACGAGTCTGGAGCAAGACATAGCGATAAACATTTTATGTAAAACTGATTAATTAATTAGAATATTTAAATAATTGTGGAATTCTAGCTACTTATGAGTGGCTTTAAGCACAGCCACCTCTAATACAAGGCCGCGGCGAGTGAAAAGCGGCAACGTCGCATCAGTGTCTTGGCGTTCGGTCGTGTTACCATTACAGTGAATGGAGGAGTCGCGTACTCTACGTATATAATCGCGTTTCTACTACCTTTAATCATTAGTAATGACATTAAACTTCTTACTACAGCATGCCAGATAGATGTGATGTGCCTGTATGCAAGAATAATTACGATAGCTCAATTAAAAATGAATAATACATACAGTGTTCTACGATTATACTTGATCCACCGCGTAAGCAACAATTGCTTTCTGCTATTCTTTGATCAAATTAGACATCTTAAAAATATTCTCGTTTTTGTGTGAAGCATTTTTCACGAATATGAGCTTAGATTAAATTTGTAAAAAAATGTAAGAATAAGACAATGATTCGTGTAAATATAGATGCGAGAAGCAAGTTTTAGGTAGTAATACCGTACTATTTCCTTATTTATTTGTCTATCTTATTGATAAATGCTGTTGTTAAGTGATTAAAATAACTTAAATAAATGCCACTTCAAAGAAATAAGCCGGTGTTTCTGTTAAGTAGGCCTACTAGTAAAAAAATAAGTAAACTTCTGCACCATCTAACAATAAAAGCATCATAGTCTCCGAATCCAGTCTGAATGTTGATGTGATAAAAAAATTCTATTAATATTGTGGAAAGCCATATGGAGGCCTAGCTTCTGAAATCGTTTACAAAATGGCAAACGTTTTTTTTAGTAATTATTCAAAGAAAATAAATTATTTAGTCAGTATGCCTTCAAAATGAAAACTTCAAATTTTGTTGTAGCTAACTTATGGTTTCCTCAGGTAGACTAAAACATAATATTCCTATTAAAAATTAAAAATTAATTTTATTTGAACAAATTGTTAGATGTTAGTCTCTACAAATCCCAAAGTCTCTAAAAGTATTGAAGTGGCAATAAGTTAGTCCTACTGTAAAACCATTCTTGGTATAGTAGCTTTATTTTGTAAAATTTAAGCACAGTCTGTCTAGTAGTTTTTACTATGTTGAATAACACACATATATACAGACACCATGAGATTGTTATATAATAGTGTAGATTATCAAATTAACAAAGGAAATATTTAAATTTCATCTATTTCCACATTCATTGCACTTACAATACGATAAATGCTACCAAAAACATTATGTTTGTATATTTTTAGTTTTAGACATGTTGCGGTATGTTGCAATTTTTCACTAAATTAACAACCTAGTTTACAATTTTGTCTATTTTACCATACCTTAAAATCTACTAAAATATGTTATTACGTATTTAAATACTTTCATTCATTGATACAGAGCAGCAATACTCTCATTGATGATCATAGCCTAGCGCGTGTGAAGACGGACGCAGAGGGGGTGTGATTGCGGCGTTGCCAGTTCGAACATCGCGGCCTTGTATTAGAGGTGGCTGTGCTTTAAGCCAATAGATTTATAATTTGTTCAGATCTAGATATAATTACTATACTATCATGAGGTGTGTTGGCAAATGTTTACATTAACACCGGTAGATTAGCCTGTTTTAAAATTGTGTAGTAATATTTTTATGGATTAAAATGTGGTTCAAAATAAATCTGGAAACCTAAAACTATGTTTCCAGGGCTTTTTAACTGTGATTACACAACACTTTAGCAGGTAATAATTATTTTTTACATTTTTTTTACTTTGGAGAGTTAAGGTAAAGTTGAGCCTTTTAGAAGAAGGAAAATATTTTATAAGAACCTTGTTTAAAATGTATATAAGATAACAAAAATATTTTTGTAAATAAACAACTTTCTTTTATTTTGTGCGTTTATTTTACGCTTCCAGGTTATAGAGTTGACTTATTGACAACCTGGCATTTTTAGAGAGTTTCTTATGTTGCTTTATATGAGTTGAAGTCAAATGGCAACAACAAAAACATTTTGTTAGGCGTCTTTTATGCACGACGTTTTCCGTCGGGCGGAATCCATTGAGCTTTCCGTTGGGGAGTTTTTTTTACAGGGGATGAAATGAGACCCTTTAATGCACGACGGAATCTCCTCTGCGTTTTATTGTTCCGTCCAGGGCGGAAAGGAGAACTTACGCTTCGCCGAGTTTCAGCGTTCCATCGGGGTGTTTTTTACACAGTATCAAATGGAACCCCATTATGCCACGGCGCTTTTCGTCGGGTGGAATGTAGCGCTGCCAACCTACCCCGTGCTCTGTCATCCACAGTATTGGAATCGCCTAATCATTGTAAATAGATGATCATTTGTAATGGATTGAAGGGTACAAATAAAGCGATGTAATTGGAGAACATTTTTCAGGACAAGCATACTTAAGTTTACATTTTTGTTTAAATCATTGGAATAATACAATAACTACCCAGCACAACGTGAAAGCCCATTCCACTCTACAACTTTGATTCACCGGGTCTACAGCTCAACTCCTCCTTCCTCGCAGTATATTTTTCTTCACACAAGGAACATGTCGGCCTTAGTCACTAACAAGACTACAAGATCGCGCCACTCATCCTACACTCATCCTTCACTCATATTTGGGTTAAAATACGCACATAGTGGCGTCCCCATCTTAACTAATTGATAATTGATAACAAATAGGCAGTGCTCAATTTGTAATAAAATGAGGTGCCGGAACTGTAACCTATTTTTAATGTGATTTGTACCTATTTATGCCAATATTTTTATCTTCCCAAAAGGGAGGTAACGGAATTCCGTTCTTTCGCGTTCCCTCGTAAATCGAGCACTGCAAATAGGTTAAAATCCAATAAACAAGGGTCCATCTTGGATGACTTATGATGGCCAAATGAACAAAGTTGGCAGCACTGGCACACCCCACCGTGGGCATTATAAAAAACCAGCAGATTCCGCTCGGCGGAAAGCTGCATAAAAGATTCCGCCCGACGATTTTGTCCAATGATTTTGCCCAACCGAAAACATTGTGCATAAAAGAGGCCTTAGTTCTTTTGGTCTAAAATCTGAGAATCACAAATTATTCAAATGATAGCACTTAAAAAAAAACCTAGTTGCCTACTCCAGTACTTTGTATTGTATTTAGAAGTTTTATAGGTTTATATATACTCAACTGTCTAAAATTAAACTCATCAATGACCCCAACCAGATGTGTTTACGATCTGTTTTATTCTATTCATGAATACAATTAATTGTGTAGGCTATTTTACTTCTAGCATTCTTACTCATACTCTTACATCATCTTTCTGCTTCTTACTCCGGTACCGATCGGGTACCGATACCGCTTGTTTCTATCTTTACTGTCTTGGTTATCCACATACTTGTTTTTTTTAAATTGAGGCTGAGCTTTGACTTTTGAAGGTCTTAACTTTTCTGAGTCAGATGCAGTTGAATCTGTTTCACTTGGTTTATTTCGCTCTACTAACCTAAAACAGGCCAGTTCTGTTACATTTGTAAGTACTTTTGGGCACAGATCATAACATTGTTTTAGTGTTAAGTCAGTTAAAGTGTTTCTGTAACCAGTGCTATGCATAGACCGCTGCGGTGGTTCATACGGTGGTATTTCAACTATTGCATGTTAGGACTGGACTGAGTGGGCTGGTGAGTGGTCTCTTTGCTTTGGTCACTGCTGTATTCTTTTTGTTTCAAGAATCCAAAAACACTGTTAGTTTAAATTATACATATAGCCTTGTACAAATATGTCCATGAACACAAAAGCTCTTCTTAGGAAGTCTATTGCACTAAGGTTTTATTTAAGTATTTATTTTAGGGTGATGTGAGACATTTTTTTTATTTCACGCTTGCATTTTATTTCAGCTAAAAGACTTGGAAATAAAGGTTAATAATCCCAACATTTTAAACGAATGTAGTTGAGTTAAGCTGTTTTGTTTTATGTTAGTTTATTGCCCCTGGGCTCTAAAATAAGCCAGATTAGCTCCATTTCTTTTTTAAAAGCCTAATTAGTTAAATAAATTGCATTAAAATTACAAAAATCACTGCATAAACATTATCAAGTTGTTAGAGCTGCAGTGAACTGCACCTGGTACATAATCCCAAACAGCACTGCCCCAACAAAATAAAACTTACCATGCTTCATCTTGTATTTTATGTTTTGACTTTTTTGTTTTAATTGATAGTCTACTGCAAGAAAAGTTTTTAAGCACTGGATCTAATATTATTAACCTGCAGGTTTTGAAGAAACCCCTTTGGTTTGAATAATAAAACCAATAAGCAAGTTTCATACTGGTTTCACAAATTTAGTTATTTATTCAAATTCACTTTACACATTTATGTGATCATGACAAATGCAATGCATACTTCCTTTACAGTTTGTGCTATTACCTAAATGAGCAAGGGTTACAGTCATTTTCAGAAGATTTTAAAACTCAACTTTCAACCCAGATTTTGTTTGTTAGTGGTTTTATCACTAACTATATAAATTTATCCAAAGTTTACAACCTATGTTTGGACTATAATGATCAACTATACTTGTTAAGTATAAATAAAATTGCTCACATTTTGTTAATGCATATGTGCATTGAGCATTAATTTTAGTTTTGGCATTTTTTTTACTCTAAGAAAAAAAACTAGAAAAAATCTGTGTATGTAGCTGTATTTATTAGGATATACTTGTAACACAAAATACTTGGGAAAGAAGAAATTTGATGATTGTTGTTGTTGGTTATTTGAATCTTACAGTGTCTGGAGGTGTTCTAGGCGTAGTTTTATTATCATCATGTTGGTCATTATCAATGGAATCTAGTTTTAAGAGGACTCGACTTAGCTTTTCAGATGTGTCTTCCCTTACAGAAAGTCTTGGAATAGGCCTGAAAGTTGAAAGAGTTTGGTCAGTCTAGAACGTTTGTATATAAATTCTTAAACTACATTGACATTAAAGTTTAAAATTTGATGATTCTTCAAAAGAGAATGAACGAACACTATTACATGATCCTATTACTCTACACAAATAACAGTATATCTTGAGGACATCGTAATTTTTTCCCAGAAGTAAAAATCATCAGAAGGTAAAGACTAGTCTCTGAGTGTTTACTGAAGAAAACAGGAAAGCATTCATAATATACACACACCACTTTCAAGAATGCTTTCAGATTATACTTTGAAAAATGAAGAACACTTTGGATTGGAATTTGTATTTTCAACAAAATACAAATATTTATTTGTGAATTTTGAAATATTTCTACAAATGGCTAGGTCAGTAAAAACAGATTGTAGCCTATAATTCGTTGATTTACCTTTTAAACAAAAATATATTAAAGTAAGTGTTTCATTGTGTATAGCACAATACAGGTTTGTTTGTTGAACAAATAGTATGTGTTCAAATATTGAGGATGTTACATATTAAAATGAATTTAAGTTCAAAAACAACTCACGGAATGACTTGATTCTTAGGATCCACCACAGAAGACCTCATTACGCTGGGAGCTTTTGGCTTTTTATTTTCTTCCCTGGGACAACATGTTATAGCTGAATACTTGTTGACTTTTGTCTATTGCATTTGTTGTAAATGTTGAAGGACAATAAAAGACTTCGGAAGCCTGATTTCTCATTTCTGACAAGGGATTTTTAAATGTAAAATATGTGGTCCCATCCAACATAAAGAATTAAAAGATAAATAACTTAATTTAAGACACCAATGAGTAGCAAGCAGAGAGCTATATAAAAAATTATTAATTAGGTTCTGGCATAGACGGTCAAGGGAAAGTTTCAAGATAAAACCAAGAAAATAACAGTATTTATTTTGAACTCAAACTATGGCAAAATACGTTTTAAAACAAATTGAACAAATAACCTGATAAATTTAAATTACATATATTAGGTGGTAAAACTTTTTGAAATCTACGGTTGCTTTTGTAGGGTACAAGCCAATTGAGCTAACTAACTAAGACAGGATTAAATTATTTAAATCTTTAACTTTTAACATCATTTAATCATTTAATGAGTCAAAAAGAAGAGTAGAAATAATAATCCTATTGATGATAAGAGTACCATGTGACTGATTGCTTCGTTGAATACAATAATTCCCCCTATTTTCAAATGTTTTCTAGGTAGGGACTTCGAGATGCATTGTTGTTAATCAAAACCTATTATAAAAGATAATGATAGGCTATCCAATTTCAGGTAGCCGTCCTATCATGACCGTTTCTGCCAATTTTCTAACAGTGGTGTGGTGCTTCACAAAAATCACATTCAAGAGCATAAAATAGACCTAGATTGAAGTATAGCAACATCTGTCAAGAGCAAATTTTTAGCAAGATTTCAGATGGTATTGGTCATGATAGGAAAATGATCAACTTTTGTCCATAAGAAATACAAATCTGCGGTTTAATAATGAACATTATATGGATTATGAATGTCAAAATCCATGAGGGTTATGGACATTTTCTGCACCCTAATTTAAGTTTTCTTGCCTTTTCCGTTGCATGTATACTTCTTTGAGCATTTTTTAACGTTTACTGGCTCTCTTGCAGCTTTGCAGCTTACATAGAGTTAGTCTACTTGGTCTGAGTGTTTTTCCTAGCTGCTGCTCAATGCACTTCTGGATGGTTCCCTCATATTTGGAAGCTTCTGCTTTATGCATTTTGAAATGTTTTGAATGATTTTCATAACAGTTTTTGTCGAGTTTGGCTGGTAATCTGGCACAACCTTTCCCGTTTTGACTTCAGATGGTCAAATAATAAAACTATAGTAGTACGAGGCTTGTCCAGAAAGTAAGTACTACCGCCGGCACAGCGTTAAAAACGATATTACGCACATGCACACTAGTCTCCTTGGTTCATTGTTAAACAGCTGACGCAGTAACTGTAAAGTTGTGTTGGGTTACATTTATTAGTGTACACTCAAAATGTTTGAAACAATTTATGACCCCGCGGACTGTAAAGTGGGTTCTGTATGCATTTTTTGAATACAAGAAATCTGAAGTCTGCTGAAATTCATCGCCGACTTAAAGAAGTTTATGGAGAAAAAGTTATCAGTGATGAAATGGTACGAAAATGGGTTCGGCAATTCAATGATGGGCGAACCAATGTTCATGACGAGGCTCGCAGCGGGCAGCCATCTGTTGTGAGTCAGGAATTGTTTGAAAAAGTGAATGATGAAATTCGTGAAAACAGACGTTTCGCCATAAGAATGCTTTCTGATGAATTACGACAAATTTTAAAATCTCTTTTGCATAATATTGAGGTTAATAGCTTGAGTTATCGCAAGATGTGTTCCCGCTGGGTTCCGAAAATGCTTACGGCAATGTTTCTCTTCAATGTCGGCATCTTTCTGTGTAGAGGGTATAGAAAAGTTGGTTCCTCGCTACGACAAATGTCTAAACAATGGAGGAACTATGTAGAAAAATATCTTAAGATATCTTCTTTCTTGTTGAAATAAATGTTGTTGGAAAAAAATTCTCTACATGTTTTTCCTCCAAAACGGTACTTCCTTTCTGGACAAGCCTCGTATATTTAATCACTAGGGCGAAAGGTGACTTTTTTCAAGTTTTAATAAAAATTAGAGGGGGTTGAAAAGACTGTTTTGCATGTGAGGTGAACTATATTTGTTGTTATATTATACCATTAGTTAAGCAAAATAAGTTAGAAAACGACAACAATATTCATGTTAAGATAGCCCCTCAAAACGACTTCTTAGCTTGTTTTTGAATTAGCTGAAGCAAACAAGCAGCTGTTTAGTAAGTGATTCAATCATTTAGACTATTAATATTGTGTTAGTTGTACATTTTATTATCGATTTGTCAACAAAAATGCACCAATAACCTACAACCAATTAAAAATAGCAATACATACTTTCGAAACTGTGTTTAAAACAAACAGCTGACTTTTACACCCTATAGGGACTAAAAATGTGTTTTACTCCCTACAAGTAGGACACTAGGAGTAAAACGTGCTACTTTAGACCTGCAACACATGTATTAAAATGTCTGTTTTGCTGAAATAGGTATGACAAAAAAGGTGCATTTGATAAGAAAATTTTGATAAGTGACAGAGGGATAAAATTTTACTTACTTCTTTTTCATTGTCTTCTTTTTCCTGTAAATAAATCAAATTTTTAAAAATAAAAACACATTATAGAGCAAACTAAAAAAGATATGATGAATTTACGGATGATGACTCATGCCATGATGGGGAAATGAGCCCTTCACACTCTAAAAGACTATAGATTAATAAAAGGGTCACATTTAAATAACTTAATAGTGAAGAAGAAATATTCAAAATAGTTATTTAGGACTTTTATTTACCTACAGAACACTAACATATATTTCATGGTCTATATTACATTGTGTCTGGTGTTCAAGGTAATGGAAAACACAGGCAAGCATAAAATTAATGTCGCTAGGGTAACCTCTATCTGGAAACAATGACTTTTAGGGAATATTTCAAACAATCATCAACGAGATTTCTTGGGTAATATTTTAAGACTAATAATCAAACAACAGATATGATTAAGGAAAAATAAGTCCTGATGAATACTTAGTTAAAATACTTGCTATACAGACAATAAATGATTTTATTTAATTTTACCGGAATTAATTGTTAAAGCAAATGGGATAGTAATAGCATTTGCTTGTAGTTCAAAAACACTTTAAGAATTTCACCTATAAAGTATTAAGTATTACATCACTTCATCTATGGTACCACACACAACCTTACTCTAGGAGCTAGATATACAAATGTACATATTTTGTTAGTACAAGTACATACTTAGATTTAGAACTTTTTCCAGCAACAGAAGTGTTAGATACACTTTCCAATTGACTTGTAGATCCCCCACTCACTTCTGGTTCACTGTAACATGAGATAAAATTTACTATAGTCACTTATCACACTTTTCATTGATTTAGTCCATTATAATGATTTTGTGATATCTAGAAACAAAATGACTCATAAATACATTTGTTACTTGCTCATAACACAAAAGTACCTAAAGCTACAGTGGATATTCCTCAACACAGAGTAGCTAAAAATAACTTTCTCATTATTTTTTTATGTAGATTCTTTAATAAGTTGTCTGCAGATCTTAGTCAATCCACAACCTATAGTATTATTACTGAAAATCCACTTTAAATACAATATTTCATACTGCCTCCATTCACCCTTTTATAATCATACCTATTGTCATTAACTACTACCATTAATTATATTAGATACGAAGTAGACATATACTGTATCCCATCTATATGGACCAGCTCGCTGTCGCCAATTTGTTTTTGAAAAAGAACATAACTGTGTGAAACAGTCTCAGAATGTGCAAGTGTCTAAAATTATATTTTGTACCTAATATTTAGTGGCTCACATATAGTTGATAACCGTTGTTGAAGCTCACAATAAGTCATTCAACCAGTTTGGCTTAGTAAAAAGTTCTTGTATTTAACAGAGATTAGTAATTTGGATCAGCACAATATGTCGGAGCACACATCATCTACAACGGTTTTCTATTTTTTTAATGGTGACAACTTTAACATGGGTTGGATTGTCTAGTTGTATCAATAGGTAAATGTTCTTTCCAGATCACAATGTTATTCCAATCTTATCATTTTATTTGTTTACGTGTCACTTAAAATATTTACCTGTCTACATCTTTATACTCTTAATCATGACTGTGTCAATTAGAAAGATGGTGTGTGAGTAAGGGAAAAGCTCACAACAGCACTGAGAGTCTCACCACTAGACGCTGTATGTATTAAATTAACCCAACGGCAATTAATTGTTGGGATGACTGTACAAAACAACTGTATAAAATAAAGCAACAGTGTTGAGGGAAGGGTTCTAGATTACATTTTTGACACAATCTATACCTGACAGTTGTTAATTTCTTTAACAAGGTTTCTCTTTCTACCTGACAGACGTGTGAGAAGTCACTGGTGACACTACGGTAACTCTGGGAGGTTCTGTGCCCATCAATTTGTCTATCCAAGTTCGGAAACTGCGCCGTAGAGTCATTATCTTTGAAATAGGACCAAATTTTAGTCTTTAATTATAAGTTACTACACAACACCTTTATAATAAGGTGCTAAAAATTGATGGATAACTCTCATACGTACATTAGACTTACAGATAGGGGTCTCAATCCCGGGCCTTCAATCCAATCCCGGGATTTTGAAATTCATCACGGCCGATCCCGGGATTATATTATTTTATTATTTTTAACTATTTAGCCATTTTAAATTAGCAAGAAGTCCCCTTATTGATCCTTTAATGTTTTAAACTGGCCTTATCAGTGTTCCACTGCGCAATTTCACCGGAACTTTCATCACCCGTTTCTTATTTACAGTGTATAAATATTAATATGTCACTCTAGAATATAATAAATAAATAAAAATAACAGGCAACCACACTGGCATGTAGCCTACACGTCACACTAATGTGGAAACTAAATAAATAAAAATATAAGGATAAAAATATAATATGGCAAGAATCACGAGTAGCAGCGTAAAAATGTTATGTTGACTGACAGAAATAAAACAATATAAGGTCTGCTTATGTAGTAGTGTGTGTACAAAAAACGTAATTTAGTATTGTAAAGTATTTAATTACCACACTAATAACCAAATACGAAGATAGATTTTCAGTTACCGATTGGCATGTTATGTTTGCCACATGAATTGGGTTGTTTGCGTATAATATCAAAAGTAAAACTCAAAATAACTTATAGGATATACCTACTATAATTAACTTTTGAATAATGTAATAACATTTACAGATAGAAAATCCAATTCGTCTAAAAGCATGAAACATAAATTGAAATATGTTTATTAGCGAATTTCCCATATAGGGAATAAGCTATTACCTTAGTACTCATGGTAAGACCTTTACCCGGGACCGATTAAATTTTTTGTTTTGAGGTCCCTAGAGGCCAAAAACACCATCCGTTCAAATTCATATGAATATATATATGTGTGTGTGTGTGTGTCCGTTAGCACGATAACTCGAGCAAAAATTATCCTATTTTGATGAAATTTGGTACAAACGTGTAAACCTACGTTTATTCAAACAAGTTCACGAACCAGCATAATCGGACCATGGGAACGGGGGTTTATGGGGGGTTTTATGGGGTAATAATAGGGTTTTCCCACTTTTGACCCTAAAAACAAAAATGTTTGCAATTTCTTTTTAAACCGTTTGGTAGAGCTTAAAAAAAACAAATATTTCGGTATATTGAAGCGCTATTGTATGCCTAACGGTCACGGAGAAAATTAAAAAATAGTGTAATTTAAAATTCCCATGTTATTCTTATGGAGAAAATGAAAACTGTTGTAGTTTACTTGTTTATGGATATATATTGATAAAATTTGGCAAATTTATTTATTTCATTCTATAGTATTGACGTATTATCAAAAACACTTTTTACCTTCTCCGTAGCAGCAAACTTAAGCACTTGTTAAATCTAATGTTGTTTAAATTGGGAATATTTTAGTAAAAATGTAATCAGACAAGTTGAAATTCGCTTAGTCTGCAGGTTTGCTGCGGCGGGGGTATTATTTATATTCCGTAAGTAAAACTCCTCAAATTTACAAAAAAATCTATATAAACATAGATTTTGCAATCCCGTTAATCCCAAGATTGAGATCCCTACTTAAAACTGAATATTTTACAGTAAAAGCCCTCACATCTTTCCACAGTGGTGCCACATGTCATTGTCAAAGGCTGATAAAGGTTAAATAAAATTATGAGAGGAACATAAAACAAAAGCTACAGAGAGTACAAATTGTACCTACATAGTGATGTTATTTTTCTTATACTCATAAGAAGCTTGGAAATAATTAGATGTACTAAATTTAGAATTGAAACACAGTGATACATGTTGAGACTTTCACACCAGCATTCTGCAGAATGAAGCACAGTGGTGGGCATAAAATATCATACAATATTTCGTATTTTCCTGCAGCCATTCCATTGTCAATTGAAATTAAACAAGGAAATCTCCAGCAAGGTCTTGGGGATTAAGTTTTTTTTTTCGTGTGAAAGGTATAATATTATTACATTATATTGATCTTAAATTGTTCTTTCCTGTTACTCTTTAGACCAAGCAGGGCCATCAAACTTAGCGTCCAACTAGGAGCAACTTGAACTAAGTCAACAATTCATTTAGTTTGGTAATTTTAAAATAGGTTTTGGATTTATTTTAATTCCTATCGTCTATATATTCTAAGAAATTGGGATTTTATAGATCAGATAAGGAACGTTCCATTGTGATGTATATTTTAGTGTATTCTTCAGTCAGTACAATCAATGACCCAACAAATCTTTTGGGTTTTTCTGGAAATAACTGTATCCATTCTGTTTTTAAGGTGTTTCTGGCATTTTTTGGACCTAACTGGTGTTTTTCATGTAATTAAATTACCATACTAGTACCAACAAGGCGGTTTCCATTTACTTAAAATACACCAGTATTACATATTACCATAATAAATTTTAAATATGATAACTCAAAACCTAAATTTTATCGCACCTTTGTTTAAACTAAAGTAGATTTTTTTTATTTGTGTGGAATGGCCCAACATTGTTTTTTATTGTTACTACCATCAACCTGTTTTGTTAGAGAGCATTAAAATTTCTTACCTGTGAAGAGAAAAGAGCCAACAAAACAAAAAATATGATGTAATAAAGGACATAAAGCATGAACGGGCGTTCTCTAGTCCCGAAATGGCGTCTGAAGTCTTTTGAAAAAGGGTAGAGAAGATCTTCAGCCTTACTGGTCTGTAATTTAACAAAATTCACACAAATTTAATAAGAACGTATATGAACATAAATAAAAATTAAATATAAATATATCAACGTATTACAAGATGGGTACAAACATGAATAGACAATGAGTTCTTGAGTATTTTATTACTTTAAAAGTGGGTAGAGCCTTAAGTGTAAAGCAGACAAGACAGTGCTTTATTGTACAGTATGTAAAGTAAAAAGATCAGTGCTTTAAATTTACTAAAAATATACATCCATCACTCAAGGTCTCAAAAAATAAATAACGCGAGTGCCAAAGAGCAGTGGGGCGGGGACTTAGCAAAGAATGATAAAATCACACCCTCTGATTTGAACGATTTGTAAGGAAGTAATGAAACCTATAAAAATTCAGCTATAACAGAACAAGTAAATCATACTGTTTCCTGGTGAGAGAATAAATCAAATATACATTTTCAGACTTCATTTTTTAAATTTTACGGGGCAGAACCCCCAGACCGAACTCCTCTACCGGGGAGCTAGCACAACCTGATTTGCACACCCTGTTAGGGTTCCCATCAGTCCGACCCTGTAGGACTACATGACAGTACTTGATTATTTTATTTTGTCACTAGGCTACGATTATTTATTATTATTTGAGTTGAGTAATGTATGTATTGTTATTGTATAAGTTATGTATATTTACCTTGTGACCAACTAGTAAATTTCCCACTGTGGAATATATCAGGAATATGAATGAATAGAAAAGAGCTAATGATGCCGCAAACAATCCATCTTGAAAATCCTGGAAAAATAGTTAGGTAGGTACGTTTTAATATGTTCAAGTATGTAATATTTCTATGTAATATTGAAACAATAAAGATTTTTCTAATAATAATATAATAAGTATTGAATGAAAATAAGAGATTGATAACCTGCACATTGATTTCTTATCAAATATTGAATCAAACGTAATACACTACTAATTTTGTAACTACCTAATTGTTTTGTATTAAAAGATTTTATTTCATTAGAATAACTTAATTACCCCGCCTCAGCAAACCGGCAGACTAAGTGAATTCCCATTTGGCTATGATTTGATTTCCACAAATCGATTTAAATAGCTTAATTTATATAATATTTATATTATTTATTTTTTAAGCTCTACAAAATGATTCAAAGAAATTCTATGTTTTGAGGGTAAAAAATGGGAACAACTTCTTTTTACCCCATAAAACTCCCTGTGAAATTCCATTCCCATGGCCCGATCATGATGGTTTGCAAACTCTTTCAAATAAATGTAGGTTTTGCATGTTTGTACAGAATTTCATAAAAATAGTATGCTATTTACTGGAGTTATTATGCTGATAGATACATTATGTATATATATAAAGGAATTTGGACAGATGGTGTTTTTGGCCTCTGTGGACATCAAAACGAAAAAGTAAATTGGTTCCGGGTCTAGGTGTTACAGACATACGGTAATAGCTTATTCCCTATAAGTTAGTGGGAAATTTGCTAAAAGGTAAAAACTAAATATTTAGAACAACCATGAGCAAAAATTTAATTCTCTAAATGTATGAAAGGAAAGTAATGCTCTTAATTAATTTGTTTGCTGTTGTTTCTCAGTAATCTTGCATAGAAAAGTGTGTGGAACAAAGTGGTTTCAACTGACACAACTATGATGTCTTTCTTCAGTATGTTAGTTAATTTATCCTTATCAGTAAACTCACACTCCAATACAATGTAAATAAAATAATTTACTTACCATCATAATGTGTCAGTTAACCATACTGTAAGAAATGTAGGTGTTATTCACAAAAAATTTTGACTTCTCATGGTGTAAACTCAAAAGTTTTGTCATTTGATCATGTTTATGTTTATGTTTGGATTTAAGTGGTCATATGGGTTGTTATTCTGCAACAATGTTTAGACCCAGACAAATAGGTGATTTTTAAAATTATATTTATTTATCATATGCCGTAGTGTTCTGAAAGTGGTTGAAATAAAAAATTCCTCCACCCCAGCAAACCTGCAGATTAAGCAAATTTCAATTTGTCTGATTGTATTTGAACTCAAATATTTCCATAAACAAGACATATTTATTCTACAATATATAAAAGCATAAGATTTAACGAGTACTTAGGGTTGCTTCCACGGGGAAGTTTATTATTACCAAATGTATTAGTTTGATGAAGTTCTACCACCACTTATTTTTGCTTAATCTTTATGTTGCCCCTGATTGACGTTTTGCTGTTGAGCTTTTGTTTTAAAGGTAGGATCAAGTGGAGAGAATAGATTTCTTACCGTGAAACCCCCTAAATTAAGTGAATGGATTATAGAGTTCAGGATTAAATAAATAAATTTGACACATTTGATAAACAAATATACCTAAACAAGCAAACTACAACAGGTTTTTTCTTCCATAAGAATAACATGGGGATTTTAAATGTACAGTTTTTCTTGAATTTTCTCCTTAATCTTTATTTGTACAACAACGCTTCAATATACAAAACTATTTGTTTTTGTAAACTCTACAAGAGAAACATGGTGGACTTGGGGCTCTGCCAAGGGTTGGTAGGGGTGTCCTAAGAATGGTCTTGGTCTGTAGATGAGCCATCAAAAGAGAAAATAGGTATCTCTACTTACTTTAAGTGCTAAATTTTCATTAATTTGGTCCCTTCTCATGTGTAATGGGATTAACAAGGTTTCACGTTGCATGGCATGAATTGGCACTTAATCCCAGCACGGAAGGGTGCTTGCTGTATTCGGCTATCAACGACAATAGTATTATTTGTATTTCGTTCGCGTCTACCAGTTAAAGTTTGTCGGCCTCCTCCTATTGGCCGTCCTGGTCAACATCTTATAGTCTCCATTATGTTGAACGTTTTTTTTTGTTATGTTTTGATTTTGTGCAAAATTTTAGTATAACCATCTGTTTCAAATATTAGTGTCAATTTCAAAGTATTCATCTGTTCAAATACAAACAAACATTTTCTCCCTAAGAATAACATGGGTACTTTGAAGGCCACTGGGGCAGAGCCCTGATGGAATTCCAAAGTGTTTTTGTTTGATGGCAAAACTACATGCTAAGACTCTTCTAACGACACCTTGAACATGGTGATCGGTAGCACCACCCCTCCAAAACAATTATGAGAAAAATATGCCTAGCGTATTAACACGTTCGCTGCTACGGACGTTCCGGAACGTCAGCCGGGCCACGGCGCCAGGAGCTAAGAACGTTCCAGAACGTCACCGTTCATTGTTGTTTAACGTTGCTATGGATAAGCCAGCATGTCACAAGCGTTCTATATTTCTTTGCAGCTCGTGGGGACGTACTTTTCTGACAATAAAAAATATAGTTTCCCAAATCACCACCAGGGTTGTTTGGAACAGGGCTTTGTTTTACCTCTTTCCTGCTAGATAGCGACACTACTTTACCGACTGTAACCTGGGTAGTGCTGCTATCTATCAGAATCACTTAGTACTATATCCAATGCCAGTATTATTGCAGAAAATTGCCATCCAGTATAACTACTGTTGTTTTTACTGTAATTCAGTGTATCGGTGGCAATGTCACGCAGCGGCCGAGCGTTAGTTCAGCAACTGGCGCCGTCCCGGCATCTAGCGCTCAGCAGCGAACGTGTTAAATATATAGATTTCATTTAATTTCATTTCAAATGCTATGGGAGTGAGGGAAACAGGTCCGCAACGTAGGAAGTGGTGAAGGAAGTAGTAAGGGAGAGCAGTCCAGAGTGTGGGAACTGTTTATGACGATTAGATTAAGGTATCTGCAATCTTAAAATGCAATGGGAAGGGAGGGAAACAGGTCCGCGATGTAGGAAGTGGTGAAGGAAGTAGTCAAGGCGAGCTATCCAGAGTGTGGGAACTGTTAATGACGATTAGATTAAGGTACCTCCAATCCTAAAATGCCGTAGGGAAGGGAGGGAAACAGGTCCGCGACGTAGGCAGTGGTGAAGGAAGTAGTCAAGGCGAGCTATCCAGAGTGTGGGAACTGTTAATGACGATTAGATTAAGGTACCTCCAATCCTAAAATGCCGTAGGGGAGGGAGGGAAACAGGTCCGCGACGTAGGAAGAGGGGAAGGAAGAAGTAAATGCGAACAGCGAGGGGTGTGGGAACTGGTAACCGTTTGTCGCAGTTAGATGTATCTGCAGTACTGAAATGCTCTGAGAAGGGATGGAAACTTGTCCATGACATAGGAAATGGTGAAAGGAGTAGTAAAGGCTAGCAGTGCGGAGTGTGGGGAATGTTTGTGGCAATTAGGTTAATGTAACTATAGCTATTTACCTTACAAGTGTAGTAAGAGCGTTTTTACATCACAGGTGAATGTTGTGCAACGAGCGGAAGCGAGTTGCATAATTTACCGAAGTGATGTAAACACGCTCTTGCGTAACGTGTAACTTACAAGATTTTACCTGACCCGACAATATACAGGAGGTTACAAACAATATTTTTCATTATCCATTTCACTCATTTTCTAACAGTAACGTTCATTTACAAACAAAAGCTAGGTTAGGAAAATTCTTCAAAACATAACAATAAAATTCAAGCACACAGCTGATTTCTAGCGTTGAACGTCGTTGGCTCCATAGAGGTATATTTTTTAAGTTAAGCACTCAATGTTATTTAAATGGGTTTCATTACATCATCGAGTGAGTTTTTTTTCAACTTTACATCACTCGAGAAGTAACAAAGTTATATACATCACGCTTGGGATAGGGAAGTTTAACATGGCGGGTTAGGTAAAAATACTAAAATGCTATGGAAAGAGATGAAAACAGGTCCACGACGTAGGAAGTAGTAAAGTTTAGCATCACAGAGTGTGGGAACAGTCTGTGCAGTTAGATTAATGTATCTTCAATCATAAAATGCTATGAGAAGGGAAGGAAACGGGCCCACTACGTAGGAAGTGGTGAAGAAAGTAGTAAAGGCTGGTATCGCAGAGTGTGGGAACTATGTCTGTGGCAATTACATTAATGTATCTACAATCCTTAAATGCTATGGGAAGGGAGGGAAACAGGTCCACGACTTAGGGAGTGGTGAAGGAAGTAGTAAAGGGGAGCAGTGTGGAGTTTGGGAATGGATTAATGTATCTGCAATACTAAGAATGCTTTCAGAGTAAACTAATGATTTCCCTGAGCAAAGCTCGGTCCCCAGGTACTTTCAGCTTAAATTAACCAATCGATAGTTTTATTAGCAAAACTTATGAGGTCAAACTGGGTGAAGCCCGTGGGTAACAGCTAGTAATGAGTTAAAGAAAAAAATCAGTTTATGTATTTGATGAGAGTTTCAATCTAATTCATAGTTGACTACCAGAATATCTTCCAATATTTTAGCTAGGATTGCATGTCTTCAAATACAGTAATACCAAGTTTGGCTTCACACTGAGAAAAATTTTCGTCCCAATTAAATACCATTAGTTATTTATGATACATTCTATCTAAACTTTTAAATTGGGTTAAGACTCAAGAACACCAGTGTGAATCAAACCTTAACCTTCCAGAGGTCGCATCACGGAAGTAACCTCCAGCGATGTTTTATTTTCCGCGATTATATTATTTTGAGTGGTGTCGGCACTCGGCAGTGTGTCACTGTACCTCACGCACCTCATTCCTAGAATAGAGTGAAGGTCAAAACTCACCCCTACTATTTTATATTTGTTAGTTTTGTTCAGTTTTGTAAGAGGCTGGAAGTAACTTCCGTGTGCGCTCTGCCGATTCTTATACAGCCTGGAGGCGACATCCGTGATGCGACCTCTAGTTTAGTGTGTGCGTTGGTTATTGCGAGGAAACAATTACTGCAAATAATTTTTTTTTACGAATCATGTCATTATTTAGTAAATATATAGTTTTTACAAGATGAGTGAAGAAGTTAAATTTCTAATTGCAACACTCTTAGCCGTGCTGAAAGGGAGATTCACGAACGATGTATGTACAGAGCCATTTAGTATTATGATACCCATTATGTTAAATTACTTAAAACATCAGGTATTGAGAGTGTTATAATCTAAAACAACATTATAGGACATTGTAGTAAAATTCAAATTAACTTCTTGAATATATTCTTGTAAAATATATCTTCATACACTTTTATGTTAGAACAATTGATAGAATAATAGTTTAGTTTTATATTTATAAAATCTAAATTAAGTTTTTAGCGAATTTCCCTATAGGGAAGTAGCTATTACCGTAGGTGGCACGGTAAGACCTAGACCCGGGACCGATTTACTTTTTCATTTTGATGTCCCCAGAGGCCAAAAACACTATTCGTTCAAATTTTTATATATGTATATATTTATATATATATATATATATATATATATATATATATACGTCCGTGAACGCGATAACTTGAGTAATTTTTGTCCGATTTTGATGAAATTTGGTTTAAAGGTGTAAAGCGGGATAAACTTGAATGAGTTCGCGAACCAGCACGATCGGACCATGGGAACGGGGCTTTACGGGGGGTTTTATGGGGTAAAAATTGGTTTTTCTCACTTTTGACCCTCAAAACACAAAATTTCCCAATTTCTCTTTAGACCTTTTTAAAGAGCTTAAAAAAACAAATAATTTAGTATATAAAAGTATTTAGTTCGATTATTAGTAACGGAGAAAATTAAAAAAATTGTAAATTTAAAATTCCCATGTTATTCTTATGGACAATATTGTCAAATGTAGTTTGCTTGTTTATGAATATATTTTGATCAAACTTGGCAAATGTATTTATTTTGTACCAAGCTATCAATATTTTACTCAAAAACACACTTTATTAGTTTCCTTGTAGCAGCAAACCTAGGTACTCGTTAAACCTAATGTTATTAAAATATATTTAACTGAAAATCAATTCAGACAAATGGAAATTCGCTTAGTCGGCAGGTTTGCTGCGGCGGGGATATTTTATAATTAAGAGTTCACTAAACACATATCTGATGTGTTCAGTAAACTTTCTTTATGTTTTCATGTTATCTATATTTCATAATCTTTGGCTCAATTAATTTCTTAAATATTTTGCTTTCAAACATTTGTTCATGAAATTAAATTATTTTCCCTATTTTTTTTATTTGGTGACATATGTTGTATATGAATGTAAATAAAACAGAGCTTGTTCTCCTATCCCAAAAGTGTGTTCATTTTTTTCTCCCTCTTATAATCTCCATTTAATTTCATTCTCTACAAATCATTCATGATGTTTAAAATTAAAAATAAAACTTAATTTGAGCACCAAAATAAAAATTTTACTTCATAAATGTTTGTTTTTATTGACCTCCGGGTGCGCCCTCTCCCGTTTTGAAAACCAATGCGCCCTCTGAAAGGTTAACAAGAGAATCTTACTCTTGTTTATACAGGTTATGTTATAAATTAGACCACAAGAGATTAAATTCCTAGTTGAAATATTAGGAGCAGCTAGAATGTATCTATATATAATACGTGAAGCCGTTTTTTTGTTAACGCAACTCCTCCCTTATTTGTGGACCAATTTCAACGTTTAAGGTGTCGAAAGATTCGTCTCAATATGAAGTTTTGCAATAAGGTTTTAGAATTTTGCAATTCCTACTCTCAAGGGCATGAGACCCTCTCAAAGGTCGGGTTTTCCCCATAAGAAATACATAGAACAAGTTTCAAAACAAAAAACAGCTGTTTATAAAAAGAAACTCATTAGCTCTTTGGGAGTAAATATTGATGTTTTAACATCCAGTAGGTTAAGACCAAGTTAAACAGTTAATCAGTTTTGTAGGATGAACAGAAAATGCCTCAATTTAAAAGAAGAAATATTGAAAACGGGAGTAGGAGAAAATTATATAAGACAATAATAAGATCTTATGCATATGAGGAGAGTGAGAAGCCTGGTCTAACAGACATCCATCCAGATACACATTCACTTGGTGAGATGAATAATATTTGCCAGTTCTGCTATGTAACTCACTTTGGAAGTGAAAAAATATACGAAGCACATAGTGTTGTCACGGTGGTAAAGTAAACTCCCCTAATGTCAGATCAAATGAATGCATGCAAGAAACGTTTACTTCTGACACTGACAGATCGAGATATTTCAAAACATTTAGTAGAAACTATAATAATGCCTTGACTATGATAAGTTCAAGTAGTAAGATTGTTGGTAAGATTATACCAAATCCTGGCAGACCTTTTGTTTTTATTGTAAACTTTTGTATTACTTGCTCTACTTCAATTGAGAAATAAAACGCAAATGGATTGTTTACTTCTAGGTTATGTTGTCAGTTCCACGGAAAACTTATAGAAGGTTTTTTGACTTAATTTACCAACACAATCCAGACATTTCAAGTCAAAAATAAGAAGTTTCAACAAATCATTAGCTATTGAAAGTTTTAGTGTTAATATTAGACCTAACATAAGTGAAGGAATTAGTGTTTATGTATTCAACGATCAAGTTGTTACAGTCAAGTTTATTTTTATGATTTAGGAGAGGCAAATAATATACGCTGTTCACAAAAAAATAAATATGAAAATTGCTATCCAAATCGTATAGCTACAAAAAGAGTTATCCAACCTATTTCGACAAATGAATCAATACTATCAAAACTTTGGACAGGTATTTAGAGAAACTCTACTGAACGTCAGACTGACAGACAACACGTTAAAATATGTTACCCACTTTCAATGGTGTTGCTGCTTTAGCCTATTCAAAGCAGATTATGGCAGTCCAGTTGGCAACCCAGAGTTTGTGGGTAAAAAATGGAGCACATGAAACTGTTGATATCACCTCACTTTTCAGGGTTCTCCACGGAGAAAATTCGTTTGATTAGGGGGATGTCTCAAATCAAAGAAATAAAATTGACCCAACTTAAATTACTAAACATAGGTTATCAGTAAGGCAACAGTTTTTGCCAATTCTCAAAGCTGGAAAAACTTTGTTGCAACATGTTAACTCTAATTAAAGCAGATCGTTTAGCATTCATTAGAAGTACATACATTTCGAGGACCGCAATGACTGTTAGTGCTCATGATACATACAAGATTTTTCCTACCATAATAATTGACTTATCATAACACACAGGTTGTATGATTAGTATTGAGAAAGCAGGGAAAGCATGACGTTAAAAGTTCTTATAGTTGTTACCGATACTTCTATTGAGTTTTGGGAAAGCTTGACGTTAAAAGTTCTTATAGTTGTTACCGATACTTCTATTGAGTTTTGGGAAAGCTTGACGTTAAAAGTTGATATGGTTGTTACCAACACTTCTATTTAGTTTATGAGATATACTAGGCTATCTTCAATAATACTTTTGTCGGAAATCCCAATAATTAGTACAACTTCAAATTTAAATCAGTCTTTATTATAGTATAATACAGGATTAATATAATTATAAAAGTACAAAGATAAAATATAACAAGGCAAATAAAAACCATTATCATATAAGATGTAAATTCTAAACATAGCATTCTTTGTTTAGATTTAACAAAAAAAAACAAGTACTGTAGGCCTACCTAATTTAAAAGGGTGCATGACAAATATTTAAAAACTCCTCCTTGGTGATTAGTGATTTGAATAATTATTGTTTTTTTTCATTCTCATGACACAGGCAAAATTTAAAAAAAATTGATTGTAATAAACATGAAAATAAAAATCTAACAATTGGTGTTATGATATTAGAAAGTATGACTCATCTGGTATCGTTCAATTCATAACAAAATGAGGAAAGTCCTACAAACATATTTATGATAACCCAAACTAACATTACCACCACAGTGCTGTAAAATATGTGACCCCCGTATAATACTTAAGTACTGGAATCGGTAGTGTTGAGTTTACACAACAAAATGTGATGTGTTATTAAATTTTTGAAAGTTCAATGTGCTGAAAACCTGTGATTTTCCATCACCTATATTGCTACCTTTTCCAATGGATTTCCAAGCAGATTGCACCAATTGACTAATTTATAGAATAACATTATATCACAGCTGTGTAGCATATTCACAGTTTGGAAGCAGTCAGCCAATTGAAATTCTGAGGCTTCCTGTCTGCTGTTGGATTGATCATCACGTTGATGATTGTAGGCTGGTTCTCGACCTGAAACGTATATTCATTAGAGAACAACCAGAATCATAAAGTTTAGTTGATAACCTCTAACTCATGTTCAACTGACAAGGCAGGTAGCCTATGTCAACCTGCAACGTATCTGCAAGTAACTGCAAGTAACTGCAAGACTGCTGAATACATAATCTCAATATGGTTTACTAATTCACCAACACAAAAGACAAGATCCTGGCATGAAATTTAATTCTTAGACCAATTGTACACTATTTTACATACCTATCTCTACCTCAAACTATTCTAAGAGAATACTTTATGACAAATACTGTCTATTATTTAAATAGTAAGAATTGGTACTTACGGACAAAGCTTTTTGAAGAGCTTTTTGCAGTTGAGGGATGGTCTGACAGAAGAACCCTTGTCCTCCAAACAAGTCTACCATCTTCTCATAATGAACACTGTCACTGAGGGAGGTGGGAGGCAGTCTACAAGGTAAATGGCGTAGAATTAGTTTAGCTATTATGATATCATAATATCTGTATACTTATTTAATACGCAAGCAGGTTTTTTGTGACAATTACTCCTCCAAAACTACTGAACCGATTGACATGTTTTTGGTGTCATTGGAAAGGAAAGAGCGTAACGTGAAGTTGTGCAGGAAACTTTCTTTTTAGGGAAATAATTAGAGAGTGAGGCCCTGGGCCCTTTAAAGTTTTGTATTTCTCCTTAAGATTAACATGGGAACAAACATTGTTATGAAACTCCAGCTGTTGTCAGAAATTAAAAGTGAGAAGAAGAACATACGTTAATTGTAAACAGTCAATGTGTAAATTATCTATATTTTATTAAAAATTAGTATAGTTTTGGATGTTGGTTTGCGTTTAACCATTGACTATACTATATACCATAAAAAACGCTACATGAAACTTTGTGAATAATAAGGCTTTTTTTGTTTTAAGATTTAACCCCACATATTATATACCAAAATGTTTGTCTAGGTGTGTATATTTGCAAACAGACTAGGTCTCTGCCCGAGTGGCTTTTGAAGATCCCATGTTATCCTTATGAAGAACATATTTGTTTACATTATGATCAGATGGGTAATTTAATTGCTGTTAATACTTTAGTTGCAATTCAAGGAAACATGTACTACAAACATTTTCTGACTGGGTTGAAATTAAGTATATACTATTTGAATTTCGGATGGCGTAAATATTACAATGGGAAAAAGCGAGAAAGCCTGGGTAATTTGTAAACTAAAAAGAAAACTGAACACTGGGATACATTTCTTGAGCAATCATTGAAAGAGCCGATTTGCAAACTATGGAAATATAGGAAAGTCATAGAACATTACCAAGTAGAAGAAATAGAAATCATGGTTTTTTTTATTTATAATCGTTATTATGGACAACCTAATGCGGCTATGAGTGGGAAATATTTGTAGAAAACACTAAAAAAATATCAGATTTGAAAAATGATAATATATTTACAATATCAATCTGTTATGTACATTGTGAGTATTTCCATCATCTTTGAATCAACTCTTTAAAGTCATCGGAAATTAGTTATTCGTTTTAAAATAATGCCTGTCATACTTCGCAATTGCTCGAATTCGAGCAACAGGTACACTAGTATTAGTGATGGGTTCAAATATCAACTAGTATTTTAGCATTCAATTGTTTCTATCTAGAGATCTTCATACACTTAAGGCTGTACACTGAACAACTCACACAGTGGCCACATTGGGCAGTTGTTGCAGCTCCTTCCAGGTCTCCGTGTCCATTCCACTGTAGATCCCATTGTTGTTCACAATGATTATCACTATCGGCAGTTTGTACCTGAGAATAAACCACTGTTAAGTAAATAACTGAAGGAAAAATGTCTCGATATATTTTTTACCAATCCTAAGAATATTCTGCCAGTGTTTCAACAGTATAGAGTTGACTCTTGAAAATTTAACACAAAACAGATCAGGATGTGCCTTCATATTACAAAAAATGTTGGATTAACAAAAATGTAATACAATGTACAACTGCAATCAATATTATTGAGTCTTATCACTAAAATTAACTTTTAAGCCAAAAAATTCCTCTTAAAATACTATTAATACTCTTCGACTAATAGGATTCGGAAATCACTTGAAACTAGTGATGTGTCGATACCAAAATTTATCGATACTCGATACCGATACCTGAAAAATATATTCTCAATTCTCAATACTGATAGCATTTTTGATTGATTTACTAAGTTTTCTGAATTTTTGTTGAACTACACCAACCCCTGTCTTTATGACCTTCCAAAAAGTATTTTTGAGGTAATGGGGTGATTTTCAAGTAAAGAAATATGTATATGGCAATAATAGGCTACATTCTAACTAGCCAATTTAAGTTTAAACCCTTCTAAACACATTAAAAATCTACCATATTAAAGGTAAATGACGATCTAACAACAACAAAATGATATTATAGAGGTATGGTAGTCTGACATTTTCAGTCAAGCCAAGCTCAAGGTAAAGTGATGATCACAATAGAAAGTATCACTGCAAAATCCAAATTATCTTCCTCAATTAACCCTCCAACTGGTATAAGTCGCGATCGCGACTCAATTACGTCACGCGATTACTGGTAAGATCGCGATCGCGACCCATTTGCAAGCGTTATGTAAAACACAATTTACTCCGTTATTTTACGTTTAATATCTATGTATTTTATATAGTATTAAAGAGCAAACACTGAGCAATCTAGTCATCATATGTTTAGTTGCATTTGTTGAAAAAAAAGAATGTTGGCAAGCCTGTATTTCAGATGATTGTTTGTGTTCGCTTGCGTCGTCTAGTCTGCCGCATTTTGTTGTTAACCCTTTACTTTGAATGCTTTAAAATGAATATTTTAGTGAGTTGTGGTTAGTTTTTAACTTAAAATGAGTGAACTAAGTAATTCTAGTGCAATTAGGGCCTGTTTGAATGATGCTGAACCAATATCTGACCTACAAAGTGATGTATTCAGTGAAAATGAAAATGAAATTGATGACAGTGATGTGGGTTCTGATGTGTATGATTCTGACATATCTTTGACTGATTTTTCATCTGGGAGTGGGGAATTATACTTTCCAAACAGTGAAGATGAGAACTCAGATACATCTATTACAGATTTTGATCTTCCAAGACCTAGGCCTAGGCCTAATGAAGTAGGCTTGCGTAGGCCTTTGCCAAGTTCTCCAGAACACCCAGATCCAGATGACCCTCCTATCCCTGAGGTAAATAACCCTTTGAACCAACCTAATTATACTCTGCCAGGGCCTAGGATTAGCTCGGGTGTACACTGGGTTAGGGTTTACCCACCTGAACAAATGTTTGACGTCACAGAAAAATTTCAGGTACGAAATCCAGGTCCTCGAAATCTTCCTCCCCGGAATAGCAACCCTATTACATATTTCTATCTTTTCTTTACTAATGTTATCTGGGGTATGATGGTGAGGGAAACAAATGCTTAGCAAGCAGACAAATAGAATCAGCTATAAATGGAGGTACATTGACGCCAAACAGTAGACTAAGAAGGTGGAAAGAAACCTCTATCAAGGAAATGAAGCGTTTTATGGCCCTTCTTATAAATATGGGTCTGAATTACAAACAGAACATTGAAAATTATTGGTCAACTGTTAGATCTCAGAGATTACCTTTTTTTCCTGATAATATGAGCCTAGTAAGATTTCAGGCACTGAGATCAATGTTCCATCTTAGCTCTCTACAGTATATACCAAAAGGACAGCTCGGACATGATCCATGGTTCAAAGTGCGACATTTCTATGAGCTAATGAATGGATATTTTAAAGTTTATTTCATTCCAAACCAGAACATTTCATTAGATGAGTCTATGATAGGGATGAAGAATAGGTGTACATTTATAAAATATATGCCTAACAAAAGACATGCCCGCTTCGGTATAAAAAAATTTGAAGTGTGCGATAGTGACACCGGGTACGTACTTCATTCTGAGCTGTACAGTGGTAAAGACTTCCTTGAAAATACAAATCCTGATATTGCATTTACAGAAAAGGTAGTTTTACACCTACTAAATAAATGCTACTTACTCAATAAAGGATATCATCTGTACACAGATAATTACTACACTAAATTACCTCTTGCCAAAAAGTTACTTCAAAATGAAACTTACATTACCGGTACCGTCAACAAGCGGTCAAAAGAACTCTCCAAAAGTGTTTTAGATGCTAAATTACAACCTGAGACATCAATCTATTTTAGAAAGCAAGGAGTTCTGCTTGTTGGCTACAAACAAAAGAAAAAACGCAAGCCTGTTTACCTTATAACAACTGGATTCCCCGCAGATGACCGTGTAGTAAAAAGTAAAAAAAGTGGAATAGAGGCTATAAAACCATCCCTAATAAATGAGTACAACCTTCATATGGGTGGTGTGGACAGCAAAGATAAGTCTATATATCACAGCACCTGTACAAGAGCTACAAAAAAATATTGGAAGAAGATCTTTGAAAATTTTTTGGACATGGCTCTCCTAAACTGTTATATTTTGTACCTGAAAAATACTGACCAGCCTATGACACGATACAACTATATGGTTAGCATCGTTGAAAGTTTATCAAGTGATGTTGCAGTGCCTAACCCAAGAGCTCAGATACCAGACGTTGGTCCTGGAGGAGATGCAGGACCCTCTGCGTCCCATGTATTGACGAGATTGCCTGGAGTACAACTCAGGATGTGTGTTGTGTGTTCCACTCCACAAAAAAAGTCCAGGAGTCATTTTTGGTGCCCTGCATGTAACTCAGGAGTGCACCCAGGCTGTTTTCACAAGTTGGAGCACTTTTGGAGAGCACCCAAGAGGGGTAAGAGAGCAAGGGAAAATAACGCTAACGATTCTGACTAGAATTCTTCTTGTAAACGGTTAGCTCCTTTGTCCAAAGTTGATTCTAAGACTTGTATTTTTTATTTTGTAAATAATTTCAATTCACATATAGGCCTAAAACACAATATTTTTATGGAGAAATGAAGTGAGAAGCCTGGGGCAGTGGTTTCCAGCACAGGTCCAGCAGGTCTTGTGTTTGTGCGGAAAAAGTGCTTCGTGTTTTTGTCACATATTTGCTTTATAGACTTTTTTTTTATATAAACTAGCAAGTGTTATACATAGTTGGAAAGACAATGAAACTGTGAGCATTTTGGCTATCTTATTTTTTGATACAAGACACATTTGACCAGAGATAATATACTAAAAGAAGAAGAAACATTTTTTTTTAATATTGCTGTACCCACATAGGAGGAATACCTGTTAACATACTTGTAAGTACACCATTAAAACTATTATTTTTGAATAGGTTATTTCTTTCTGAAAAAATCTATATATAATATGTATGTTTTTTGTACCATTTTATATGTTTAATGTGGTATTTACTAAATGCTTGCGCGGTGGTCAAAAAAACCTTACCAGTACGGGAAATTTTAATGACCAGTTGGAGGGTTAAGGAAACATCATCACTGTCTTTCGCGATCGCAGAATAATCATGATTATTTCCGGCGGCTGTATAGACATCATCATCACCTCCCGCGGTCACGGAAACGTCTTGTAGTCTTGCACGTTCGCAGCAAAAGTGGTAATTTCACGTGGGCGTGACAGGTATACGTATCGCAATCGATTTTTGACAATCAATTCTCGATACCAATACAAACGGCCAAATATCTGTGGTATCGAGAATTGACACATCCATACTTAAAACTGTAAAACTGTGGAAAAGGAGTGGAAGCTGCGACTGGAAAGACTTCTGGTCTTTCTTTTCTGCGACTTTCTGGTCACAAAAACATTAAGTTCCAGTACAGTAAGAATTTTAGCTGATTACTCATTGAACATGTTTTGTAACTCTTTTTAAGGATTTGCCCTTTGTGAGTTATAAATCAGTCATCAATTTTTAGTGACAGCAACACACACATGGCTGCATATTTTTGATGAATATAAATTCAAGGTGGATTTAAAATTGAGTGAAATAAGTTCCAGTACAGTAAGAATTTTAGCTGATTACTCATTGAACATGTTTTGTAATTCTTTTTAAGGATTTGCCCTTTGTGAGTAGTATTAACAGTATTATTAACAGTATCAATCAGTCATCAATTTTTAGTGACAGCAACACACACATGGCTACATATTTTTGATGAATATAAATTCAAGGTGGATTTAAAATTGAGTGAAATGATCTGTGTACTTTTTTTACTGACTAAGACCAGCTGTTTCAATAGTTAGGATCATTTATTAAAATCCCAATGATCAAGGACAGCTAGGTCCAGTTTCAAACCATCCAAAAGTTACTAGTTAATTTAGTTAGTTACAAAAGTTAAACTATTTGAATTTGAATTTGAATTTACTAATGGTTATAACTTACAACCAGTACCATACATTGTTGTCTACATTGTGCCATACATTGTGTCCAGTTAAGAACCTCTAATATGGACTACTAGACCCTTTTCAATCCAAACTCTGACAGATAACAACAGCTGTTAACTAATAAACCTAAGTCACTCATATTGAACAACTTTTACCTAAACATTGTCTCAATTTCCATGCCAGAGAATCCAAAAGCTGAATCGCCTTCAACACAGATCACTCTCTTATTCAGTTTCTGATTCCGACACCACAATGCTGCTGCAATGGCAAATCCTGGACCAACACCCATTGTGCCAAATGTACCTGTACACATTAGTAAATTATAGAAAAGGGTGAAACTGCAATACAACTTAGGGCTTTTATCAAAATGATATTGTTGTTTGCCAATTATATTCTTACCAGGTATAAGTTAAGAGAAGTTATAACATATTGCGCTATACTCAGTTTACAAATCATAGGCGGTTTGAGGGGAAGCAATTCCATCCCCTAAACCTCACCCTAACTTTGAAACAACAGCCAACAGCTCATCAGCTGATATATAGATTAAGCTAGTGGTGCGGGAACCCAGAAAACTTTACCCTTAAACCGCCTGAATTTTAAGAACAAACTCTAGTGTCAACAGTCAGTTATACAGCAAGACATTCAATAATGTGACAATAAATGGTATGCAAACTGTGTCCAGCTAAATTGGATAAATAGGGAAATCTTTTGGATTTTTGGAGGTATTGGGGTGAAAACTATTTGTAGAAGGTACAGCAGGTTGTACAAAAACTACTAACTTAGTTTGAAAAATATGGTACTTTCCTGTTAAAGGGAACATTCATTATTATCGATGATTTTTTTATCGATATATCGATATTTTTGTTTACCGATCCATCTATTACATATTGACAACTGATCTTGTTTAGGCTAAAATAGTCTATTATATGGATTAAGAAATGGAACTGTTCTAAGCTAACCTAACATAACCAACCAAACTTGCTGTACTATTTAAAAATTCCTTTTGATAACAGAAAAGGCAAGTTAAACATGGAATGTTACACAGCAAGTTTGGTTAGTTATGTTAGGTTATTTTTTTTTAGAACAGTTTCATTTCATTATTGTTTGTTGATACTGAACAATATTTATCGTAGTTGTCAGCTGATATGTTTCAATTTGTTAATATCGATATATCGAGAAAAAAATCACCGATAATAATGAATGTTCCCTTTAACAGGAAAGTACCAAAAATATTAAAATATTTTATTTTTCATGGTTGCTTTGTGAAGATCATTTCAAACATATTTAACAGTAAGTAGGTGAACATGCCTTGTTTATTTGATGTATCTTCAAAAGATTAATTAGTTAGATTCAAATAAACATATATTTTCCAGATTTCTAGTTTACTCGGAATTAGTAATGACTTATAGCTAGCCACTTGTTAGGGAATTAATTAACATCAGTAGATTGAGGTATGCAAGGCTAGGCTAGCCTTTGAAAATAGATTTAAAATTAGTTGTTTGCCATTCCCCCTTAAAATTGATTTGAAATAAAATGTGTACTACTATTTTTACACAAATTTATAGGCCTGAATGTATTATTTTCACTTAAAAACAATTTTAATAACTAATTTTTTTAAAGTGATTTGACTTTATTTCTTTAATTATTTTGTTACATAAAACAAGCTTGAGTCATGACAAGCCTGTATAAGTGTGCGCTTGCGGTTCATAGGCCTACTATCGTTTCTGTCCATGTACTCCTTTATGCTTGTGAAAAATTATATTAATTTGACGACCTCTGATGAGTGAAAAATGTTCTTGAAGACCCATCAGATCTTAAAGCCAATAGTGCTTTGAAACGTGTAGTCGACAGAAAACCTTTGGATTACTCTGGCAGATCCAAGTAACATTATACATTTTTATTATCTAACAACGTTAATCCTGAGAAAATAAACAACATGAAGAAAATAAAACAAGCATTAGTTTATATAGATAATATAATTATATTATTATAGCTTACTATTTTTGCATAGCCTAATCAATTTAGCAAAATTATTTTAAATCTTTAATCCTTTTGATCATTTTCACTTAGTTAACTGAAACCTTTGATTTATCAGCTCTATTTCTTAGACATGGATCCTTCCTGGCATGTCATGTTCTTTTACCACTTAGGCATATGTTTTACAAAGTAATTGCATATAATTTGACATCCCCATCTTAAAACCATACGTCACTATTAAAACAATCATCTTGATTAAGTCTTGAGAATCCTTATATATAATACGTGAAGGCGATTTCAACAAAACACTACTCCTCCGTTAATAATGGACGGATCTTTACAAACGATGTGTCAAAATAAAGAATTTTTCGTGTAGACACCCTCTTTCACCAACTCCTGTAATAAAAGTCCTCGGGCTTTGCCTCACAGGCCATCAAAATCCCAATGTATTTCTTAAGAAGAAAAGATTTAATTTAACAGACGAATAAAATTTTATACTAAAACAGCTGTTCATAGTAAAGACATGATACCCACAAGAACGTTTGTTATATTCAGAGTGAGTTTGTTTTCAGTTTCGATAACTGGAGTGGAGTGATTTATTACATAATCTTTGAGTTGACTCTGTTAAGTCATCAGAAATTATGACTGTTATTTGTTCTGAAATAACGCCTGTAATACTTTGCAATTGCTCGAATTCGAGCAACAGGTGCACTAGTTCTTTATAAAGAACTAAGCCACTCCACTGGCCTTTACAGCAACACTCAATAAGTGCAACTTTTATTGGCCGGGAAAAAATTGTCCATTATTATTAATCTGGTGAATGAATACACACCTGCATCAAGACGATGACGTGGAAAATCATTGAGCAAAATAGATCGGCCAATGTCCATAGTATTGGCTCCTTCACTTACAATTATACAATCTATAACACAGAAGAGTTATTGTTTTAAACCAACTGTTTTCACAAGGGAGGCAGATAGCTCAACCTAAGTTGAGCCTCAATATGAGTTGATTTAGATATAAGAGACCAATACTTTGACATTATACCTAAAAAAGTACTTAGTGTGTATGCATGATCACATAAATTAAGCTATAAATTAATTAGGGATATATACTGATACAATGTATGAAGTCTACACCTTACAATAAAATTAGTAACAAATACTCTTTTCTGATTTTCATTATCAAGCATACAAATTTCATAAACAAACTTTAAAGGATCCACAAATATTCAGATATATACTTATAACTCCTGAAAAGAAAACATCCTGCTTGAAAGTAAAGTTTAGCTATATGTTAAACACCTGTTACACAGTTTATAATTACCTTCTTATAACTACTTTCTTGATATACTAATCTTTTACACTTCAACATATAACTTACTTTTAGGGATTGTCTGTTGAATATGGTGAAACACTGTGTAATAGTTGAGTGGCACACTGGTGTCCTCAATCATTTTCTGAAATGCAAGTTTAATTTTCAGTAATGCCTACAATAATCTATTTCTTCTTCATCCCTGTCACATAATGTTTGGCGGCTAGTAAGGTTTTTTTTGCAGAAACTAATGAGTTTTAACTAAAACGTTAAGGTTAATTTATACTTAATAACGACGAGAAAAAGAAATACAAATTCCACAGTGCCTACAAGTTTCACCAATTCCAATTCCTAGATAAAAATTTCCAGATTCTATCTTAAAAATTTCTTGAAGGAAGCTAGCCTAGAATTTATTGGTTCAAAGCCCTCTTGAATAAACCCTCCGGGATATCCCCAGCAAGTGACCTAGAGCAGCAGCTATTTTTTTTCAAAAATGGTAGTTGGACATTAACATTCTTAATACTAGTAACCACACCCAAGTTGTTGGACAACCAAACAGCCACGTAACATAATGCTTAACAAGATGTATACCTGAACAGTCGCTTGGTTAGCCTGACTTTTCTCAGACAGCTCCTTCCACCAGGAACTGTTCTTGTCAAAATTCCATTTTTTATCAGACAGCAAACGGCACAGCTGAGTACAAAACACCCCGATATCTGCCTGTATGGCTGCTTCCGCCTTCACACTACTGTGCAACTCTTCAGCACATATGTCTACCTGTAGAATTAACAAGTTATTAGTTGAGTACCAAGTGAACTATAGTACACATTTCAAATCTTAATTTTAGGCTTACCATAATTATGATTTTTTAGATTGTTTAAAAACATTGTTGTTATAATTTTTTTTTTTTTTTTTTTTTGAGGTTGGCGGCCTTTTTATTTAACCTAGCATTTTGTCCCTCCACATAGACTAACTGCCCGTGCGTTGAACGTATCCAGCAAAGCAAGGGGTAAGCTGGTACATAAAATGTTTCCGGCACTGACAAGGATCCGAACCCACATCGCTGCCTTGGGCCCGAAGTCCGTGACGCTACCGACTGAGCCACCGACTCACCAAAATTATGCGGTAGGTAAAATGTAGATTCCCTATTTTTCTTTACAGGGGTTCTCAGCTTTTTTTCTCCTTCCCACCTTTAGAATCCTGATTTTTTTCTCAGATCCTCCATCAGGCTTGACATCACTAATTGCTATTGCTACCGTATTATTCTCATAAATCATATTTAATTGGGGCATTCTAATCACTCTGTGTAATTAATTATTTACAATATATTTGTTATAAGTAATGTGATTAAATTTACAATTTGTATATGGCCACAGTACTAAATTAATTTCATACTATTGTTTCTTTACTTTTCTTATAGCCTGTACTATATTTACTATTTAGGAATGCTCACTTCCCCTGAAATCCTTCCACACCCTCCTCCCAGATTGAGAACTGCTGCTTAAAAAGCACATCATTTAATTGTTATATATTGTGTTATTATGTTTAATCCATTTCTTTTTTGTTACTCTTTTTTCATGGGGGAGGAGGAATTCTAGAGCACTTCAAATGTTACTTAATCACCCCAAAATATCAACCCATTTCTTGGACTTTAAAGAAGCGGTTTTGAATATAATATTTCTTTAAATTAAACAGAAAACTGTTTATGATTTAAAAAACATATAAGCAGAGTGGTCTACTTCAACTTATTAAGTAATTGGTAGTGAAAACCCTAGTTTTCAACTAGTGACAATCTTCAATTGATTGTCACTTAAAAACACTTGTAAAAAATGTGGAAACTATGGCATCAGAGAGAGAAAAAGTAATTTTACATTGGCTGTGTGTAAAAAGATTGATTGAACGGAAATACTTAACTTAAATTAAATAGTTAAACGTTTATTTCAATATTTATTTAGCAGTCTCAAATCAAGGAAGAAATAACTTTGAATATTCTTTTTAGAAGCGATTGATCAAGCAATCGTTGTGACAAGTTTAAGGGTGATTGCTTTAACAGAAGTACCACTAACCTGGATAATAGACACTTTTTTATTGAATCGCGGCGGTCGACCAAAATGTAACATCCAGTTGAGCCTGGCGCCCAGCAGTAGAATGACATCAGCTTCCTGCAGAGCCAGTGTTCGTGCTGAGGCCACACTGAGGTGACTACTATCAGCAACCACACCCTTGCCCATCGGTGTAGCTAGCACAGGCAAACCTGTCGTCTCCACTAGCTTTCTAACTGCTGTCTCTGAGTGGGAGTATGCTGCACCTGTGAATAGGCAAGATTAACTTTAACACTCGACTATTTACATATTTAACAAAGGTCAGTGGCACTTCAAAAACATATTTAGTATACTGCAACGTGAAAAATACATGGAAAAATTAATTGATTTTGATTGGACATTACACACATAGCCAGGAGCTAAATTTAATGATTGGTCAGCCAAAGAACTGACATAGTCAACTTGTTATTGCAAGACTGATTCCAATGTATCAACTGTTACAGAAATCTAAAGTGATATTCTAAAAGGTTAGTACCATAATGATTTATCAATATATTACTTTTAATAAATACCCCCACTGCAGTCATTTAAGTTTATGCCGCCCTACATCTTCAAGCCAAATATCTTCAAAATCTGACAAAAATTACTCAAGTTATCACGTTCACGATGTAAAAAGGTTAGTTTTTTAATGTTGAATTTTACTTTATATAATATAATAGCCCTATTATTATATTTTTCGTATATATACATATGCAGGGTGGAAAAAGTCCCAGGACAGTAAATATTTCAAAAAGTAATATAGATAGAGCTTTAGAACTTGGTACACAGTCAAGGCGTATGAAAGAAGGTGTGTGCATAGTGACGTCAGTGTGAGTAAAACTTGTTTTATTTTACCAAATCATATGTTTTCTTGTAGGCTAATTTTCCAAAGACTTTCGAATGGCAATCATTACGAATTAATTAGCATTGAATATATAACACTATTTAGAGTTTTATATCCAATATAGTGTTGTATTCAATATTGAATATAGTCATACTGTTATACAGTATATTCAATGGTGGTAGTATTAGTATATAGCATTTTGATACTACATACCCGGTACCTATCCTTGAGGACATACCCGGGCCCCATGATGTAGGCCGAAGCTTACGCATCAACCTTTAGCACATCATAGGCGGATGACTTAAGGTCATCAGGCTCACCGGCTGCCGAAGCAGACTCTTCGGATAAAGGGTTGCCCCTCAATCCTAACCAGGGATACCGGCTACTTGTTTAAGCGTCACTCCACCTGGGTTCCACTAGGTACAAAGCCCTAGAGGACCATAATGGAGCGCCCCGACGCATTTAGTGCAAGCAACACTCGGGACCTATCTAATCCCTGACAGGCAGAACCCGCCATCATAGCCGGAAGGAAGGGGACCGTCAGCAAGCTGACGGGGGAACCCCAACCTCCCATTTACACCACTACAAGATCGAGGCCTTACCCAGTTGCTGGGAAACAAGAGATAACCAGAGCGATAGATCCCCGGATACCCCTGGCGGGCTCGGACCCAGCACCCGATCTACTTCGTTTGCCCGTCAGACCCAACATCACTGCCAGGCCATCAGGGCTTCCCAAAAGGAGGCAGGTATAGAAGTGGGACCCACCCGGATGAACCTATCCACCAAAGGTGGCGACACCCTTGACTCAATTGAGGTTCCGGGAAGAACCCCCCACACTCAAGATAACCATACCGTCCGTGATCAGAGACAGGGATTGGTTTGCATAAGTGCCTACAAACCGTTGCCCTCACACTGCGAAAAGTTACGTTTCCCTTGAGTGTCCCCATGAGCTACGGGTAATGGCCCGTTTTCACCTCCAGGAAAGGCTACTTCCAAAGTCGAGGATTTGCCACACAGAATGCTGGTCGCACACAACAAGCAGGCCGAAACCCAAAGAACCACAGACACAGGTAGGTTAGAGATTATGATGCACTTCCATCTCTCCTAGAGCTAAACACCCCTCCATCCTGGATGAAGGAATGTCACTGGGACCCAATGCCGAGTCGTCCATGTCTGTGGCCTACTTGAAATGCCGATTCCAACACCGGACAGTTACCTCCCCTCTGGGGGCTAGCTAGGGTCCGCGTGGTCGCTAGGCCACGTACCCACGCAAGCGTGGGCCCCCTGCGGAGAAATTGGCAAGATTGTATTTACATATATTTAACAAAAACAGCACAAAATGGCATACAGCTTAAGTTGTAGACATTTTATAACATTTTAATGAACATACACTAAACATACAGTTCGGCCAAAACTTCTATGCGCGCGGACAGGTCGCTAGCCCAACTAAAACTACGGATACCGGTTATTTGCAGTGCTGGGGTAGGGGTGAGTGAGTAGTTACCTTCCGCAAAGATTCGTTCGTTCTTCGTGACGTTCCAATCCAGAGAGCTGAAACCCTACTGGACTGAGACTGTTTTAGGACTTAGTCCTCTTCAGCCAATAAAAGATTCGTGGCGGCTGAAGGATTATGAAGGTCGGGTGGTGTCCCAGCCCCTAAATTAGCCCTCGCTCGGCTGCTCGGGGCTTTGACAATAAGTCACCCACTGGGCTCAATGCATAGTTGGTAAAATGTTTGTATATCACCATAATGTGTATTAAATAACGTCATTTTTGTAACCTGCATCAAATAACAAGAACATTGAGCCCAAACACGAAATAATTGCGATGATATTACGCATACCACGACACGAAAACTGTCCATTATTTAAAACCAAATGTATACTTTGTATCGTCGCAATTATTTCGTGTTATATATATAACTAAATCGTGTTATACAGGAATACTAGAAAAACACATTTGTCTAGTATTCGTGGTGTTATATATTCAATGCTAATTCGTAATGATTGTCATTCGAAAGTCTTTGGAAAATTACAAGAAAACATATGATTTGGTCAAATAAAACACGTTTTACTCGCACTGACGTCACTATGCACACACCTTCTTTCATACGCCTTGGTACACAGTTACTGGGCATTTAAATAATTTTAACACATTTAAGTCCCCACTTAAATCAAATCAGCTGGAAACAATGCAGTACTTCAGTTTGGAGTCATGTTTAGAACTATTACACTGGGCTTTTGGGTTGACCTTTGTAGTTAATCAATGGTGACTGGCCATGCCGTAGCCTATACGGCATTGTCTCCCTAGCTAAGAAGCAGCACTAAGGGCTCATACTGTCCTTGACTCTTTTTACTCCTCAGGGTTTTTTTTAGTTGCACATTAAAATTACAGATTTTCCAACTTTTTGCTTATATAAACTACTAGCAGAGTACCCGTCCTTCGTACGGGATTGGCATATAAGTATAAAATGCTTATTGCAGTTATACTCAAGCTTTGTGTTTGCAATGGGGGAGGACACGATTTCATAAAATTTGCTTCTTTAAATTTACGGTATAGGTACTATAGTATTACACATCTACCATAACCATAGTATTCTACCACGTCACTTAACACGTTGACTGCGCGCGCCGACTTTAGTCGGCGTCGCCAGCGCTCCCAACGTTTTGACGGCACCAGACCAACAGAAATATATTGAGTCAGTGTGAGCTTAGCCTCAGACGGAGACGTTATAATCGTTGCCAGCCTGCCAGCTTAGAATGCGAGCTTTACTTTGTTGTAGGTTGGTACTAAAATTTCCCGTAAAATCCTGTCTGGCAATGCTTTTGTCCCGGTTTCGGGGATTTTTTCTCTTCAACCCACATTACAAAGACACTGGATACGGATCCGTGCAGTGCTGCTACCTTTGGGTGTTTCAGTGAACTACATCCACTCTCGGGGTAACGCAGCACAGTCACCACTGCTCTTTTGTGATTCGTCAGACTGAAATATTTGAATGACAATTGCGTTTGCTGATTCGGTTGCGCGCCAGGGCTTCGCCCGCCACTGGGGAGCGCCTTGTAAAGTCGGCGCGCGCAGTCAACGTGTTAAACAATAGAGAAAAATAAATGATTAAAGATTTGTAAAATATCACAAATGATTCACAAAATTAAAAACAAAAAATAACTGTAAACAATCCTACTTTGACAGTTCTCATTGCATATCATAGTTTTTTGTTGCTGCCTAGTTCAAATTAGCTGTTTCCATTAATGCAAAAAAAGTAATAGTGCTGCACCCTGTTGGTAAATCCTATAACTTTTAATGCTTTTGCATGCCATAGAACAAACTTTAAAGTTGAAACAGCTGACTAAATTCTTTTATTCCCTTTAAATATGAATACTCATAAGGTTAACATGGGGAACCATAGAGCCACTGGGGCGGAGCCCGAAAGGATTTTTGAGATAAGAATATGCCTATATGTTAATCGGGAATGTGAGCTATAATCATGCCACATTTCAGTCAAATCCATCCAGTAGTTAATGCGTGATTGAACTTCAAACAAACAAACAAACAAACAAACAAACACACAAACTTTCACATTTATAATATTAGTAAGATGTGTGAGTAGAAGTTAGGTAGGCCTACTGCAAACTTTAATTAAAATCATTCAGAGTATTGTATTCATAAGAAGACATAATATAATCACTGACCAAAGAGAAGTTTCAAGTATAAAAGTTCCACGTGCAATTTGTTATTGTTTGAAAATGAATTTACCTTTTCCCACGATCACGAGAGGTCGAACTGATCTGCTGATTATGGTAGCAACGTTTTGCAGATCTGAAGCCATTGGACAGAGAAGAGGGGGAAATGAACAGAGATTGGGAAATGAGATGTTTCCCCTTTCTATTTGAGCACTCAGTAAATTTGCTGGGAAATCCAAGTAACTTACTCCTAAAAAACAGTAACTTATTAGGAAAACAGAAATTTACAAATACGGCTCCACCATTTACAACAGCAATAGAATGACGTGTTAATCAATACACTGTGTTTTTCATATAATCTAGACCAAGAGTTTTATGTTTTGATTAATTTGAACAATATCTAAAATAATGTTTAATCTTTGATCAAAAATTCTAAACATAAACCAGGGTTTAAGGGTCGCCGGATTTCTACCCCCGGATATTTACCCCCATGAAAAAACGCCTACGTCACTTTGACGTCACATGTATGGGGGTAGATTTCCGGCCGCGAACTTTTAGGATGGATAAATTATTATATATTCAATCAACTCGCATTTCACGGTTTACTGAACAGTTGTAATTATTTAATATGCTAATAAACCTGGCACCGGAACTTTACCCCTGGAAATCTACCCCCAGACATCCGCCCCCGGACATCTACCCCCGGACATCTACCCCCAGACATCTACCCCCGGATATCTACCCCCGGACATCTACCCCCGGACATTTACCCCCAGACATCTACCCCCGGACATTTACCCCCGGAAATCTACCCCGAGAAATGTACCCCCAGTGGTCAAATCATAAATGTCCGACCCCGGAATTCCACCCCCGGAAATCTACCCCCCGTGCTACACTACGTATCGGTCAATATTCATTGTTGTAGTTGATTTTAGTAATTGGTTTAAAAAAATAATCAATGGCTCTTCGTTTAATAATTACCCTCTAATATCTAGTATTAAGCATGTGATATGTCGTTGTCTTGTTTAATGTCATCTATCTTCCCAATTCATTAAGCTGTAACTGATTTAGGTGTAATTTTTAAGCTTAAGATTCAGTGCAACGCAAATGGTAATTAAAAAGGATATTTTGATAAAGGGCTCCAAAAGTTTAACCCATAAGCATTTGATTTATTTTCAGACAGTGATTTAAATGGTTAACCAATTTTCACATACACTCATAGCTAACGGCACTCATCAATAACGGCTCGTCGTTATTGATAAACCTAAAGCATTCATCCGGCCGGTTCTCCTTCTCAAAATGCCTCGCTGTACAGGCAACACAGGTCCCATTGGAAGCACCTTCTAGGAATAAATCAAAGGCTTAGGGGTCAACCTTTTGAAGTCCTAATCAAAATATCCTTTTTAATTACCATTTTGCTCTGCGCAAGATCTTAAGCTTTAAAATGACACCTCAATCGTAACAATCGGCGAAGTAGGTCGGGTGAAAAAGGACTGTTACATATTATTGAATTAGGAAGATGGATAATGTTAAACAAGACAATGACATATCGCATGCTTTATACTGGATATTACAAGACAATGCTTAACCGAAGAGCCGTTGATTTCCGGGGGTAGATGTCCGGGGGTAGATGTCCGGGTTAGATGTCTGGGGGTGGATGTCCGGGGGTAGATGTCCGGGGGTAGATATCTGGGGGTATATGTCTGGGGGTAGATGTCCGGGGGTAGATTTCCGGGGGTAGATATCCGGGGGTAAATGTCTGGGGGTAGATATCCGGGGTAAATGTCCGGGGGTGGATTTCTGGGGGTAGATGTCCGGGGGTAGATTTCCGTGCTATGGCAAATCACTTTATAATCAAAATATTACATGTTGATTATTTAATAATATATTGGGGGTAAATTTACAGTCGCGGGCTGTTTCTCGACCGTGCATAAGCCCCGCCCCTCGTGACGTCAAAATGACGTAGGCGTTTTTTCATGGGGGTAAATATCCGGGGGTAGAAATCCGCTACCCCGGGTTTAAGAGACGGTTTGGGAGCTTGGTATTAAAACTAGTCTGGATATATTTGGTCCTAAGAACCAGATATTTTCAGTATTTAGGCTGCCGCCTAGAAAACTGGTTTGGGAGCTTGGAATTAGTTAGGCGCAGGGATAATATCACGCCTAAATATTTCTGGTTTGGGAGTCTAGTAGACTTGGGTGCCAGCCTAAGAAATAATCTCGGTGGGTTTGGGAGACTGGTTTTGGAATTAAGAAATACATCTTCCTCATAAGAATTACTGAGTTTAGGCTGTAACTTTAGTCCTGCCAGTGTGTAGGTTTAAGTGGTCAACGTGTCGGTATCACCTCATTAGCATGTTTATTGTTTACATATTAACTAAAAGAATGCTATACAGTCCAACCTCGTTATGACGAATCTGAAGAAACTCAATTGAATATTTGTTATGACAAGGATTTCGTTAAAACGGGGTTCATTATCTTGAGGAGGAATTTTGCTAAGTCAAGGTTCAGTCATAGCATCGGTCAACGTAGGTCGCAAATAAAGACCTTATTTATTTATTTATTTATCAGCCTCAATGTACAATATCACAAAATCAGTTGTGACATAGCGCAAAGCAGACAGATATGTGTTTTGGCTCAAGAAAATATGACTCACAAGAAAGAATCTATATATATATACCGTATATAATACAATATGCCGATTTTTGTGAGGTTTACTTAATACTTTAATACTTTTCAATGAAATGGCGACCATACAAAGTAGGTATTTTAAGCCAAGTATGAACAGAACTCCTCCCTCATTTTCAGACAGATTTTGATGATTAAAGTGTGAAAAAATGGCCCTGATCAGTAGTTTTGCAAAGTGGATTTCATTTTTTGAAATCTTTATTAGTTTGGGCAGGATCTTCCATCAAAGCTGGGTTTTCTCCCATAAGGTTAACATGAGTGTAACCATTCTTCACTTAGGCCTAAAATGGAAACTCCAAATTTACAATACAGAAACTTAATTTTATTCAATAACAGTACAAAACTGATAGTAAAAAAAAAAAATTAAAGGGATTTACAATAAGACAATGTGGGGAGTTGAATTTACTAACTAAAAGTTTTATGCTAGTACAATATTTTTAATTTAGGCTCAGGGGTTTTATTACATGTTCTCTATCTCAGGTTGGGGTGATCGGGCGGCGTTAGAATTTAATCTTGTTATTTTTACAATTACACTTGGTTTTGAAATATAAATTATTTTAACACTCTTCTTCTGATTAGTTAAATTAATGTTCTGAAATAAGCTTCTAATAGTTTCTTGATTTAAAAATTTGGTATAAATGTTCGAAAGGGTGTGGGGTGTAGCCTAAAAATTTTCTAATGGCTTCCAAGTAGGCTTATTGTTTTACAAGAGTGATCTCACCAATTTTGATGTCTTCTTCACAGGTAATAAAATACTTCTTGATGTTTGTAATTTAACAATGGGTGAATCTTCTTTTTATAAAATTTTCACTAAGTTACTTTGTTTGAATATATTTTATGAGGACAACATTTTTAAAATATTCCAGTTTACAATTAGTATCTTTACACTGGTTCAGCTCTCTTGGAAGTGAGGAAGGTTTGGGGCATTGTTACACACAAATCACATGTCAAAGCTGACTTTATCACACAGCAAAATTTTAGGCCACTATTCACATGGGCCTATGTATATTATAAAAACTTACATCTGCTAGAGAGCTAAAATTGGAATTTGGAAAAGTTATTTAAGTAAGTTACTGTATATTAAATTTGAAGCAGTTTTGTTACAAAAGGTTATAGGCTATCACATATTTACATAATTAGGTTATTTAAAAGTGTTCTATGTTACATTATATTAAATCAATTACCTATTGGTCTGCTTGGACAATTAGTCCAATCATATAAGGAATTTCCTGGGAAAAAATTCCCGAAGTTTTTTTCTCAGTGGTTTCTTATGTATTTTTTGACGCTGAATCTGGTTTTAAACTTTGCCACCTCGCCAGAGGTGAGCTAACTTCAGAAATCGCAAAAAACTAATAAAATACTGTACTTGTTTTACTTTTTGCGTATAACTCACAAACGGAGTATTTTTTGCCATTTACTAAATTAAAGTACACTAAATTCCCTACAATATACATGCAATAACTTTATTTCTACGATGTTCCAAACTGACGCTAGAGCCCACTCAAAATTCATCATTTTCTTTTACCAATTGGAAAACGTAGGAAACACCATTATAAATCCTTGGATTAGACACCCAACGAACTCTATTTTATGAATATTGATTATTTTATAATTATAGGGTATCATTAGGTCACATTTAGTGGTAAAAAAATGTAAGTAAAGTTAAGTGAAGTTCGGGAGTTATTTCCTGAAAACATAATCTTTTTTCCTCATATGCTTGGATTAAATTATTATACATGGTTTGAAAAACGGAGATGGATTGTCATATCGATAAAAAGAAAAACATATGGTGAAAATTAAATTATTCTATGGAAAAATATCAGTGACAATATAGTGAATTGTTACATAGTGAAATCTATACATTTAATTGGAAACTTCATCTCCACTAATTTGAGAGAACGGCTGGGTGTGCAAGCACGATAACCACTGCTGCAACTACAAACCCAATTATAAACATTAAGCAACCTGTATATCATTATAAACATGTAAATTAAATTATCTCAATTAATTGCTTTCCTAGCAATACATTTTTTACTGTTTTTTTTTACAGAGATTGTACTATAGGTGCAAGGTTTAGGTTCATTAGCATGATAAATGAGTTTCTCTATAAGTTTAGTCTTTACGTACCAGGTCTTCCGTATGTTGCGGAGCGTATAGCACTCTCAACATGTTGAGGTATGAGTTGTGGGGTTGGCGGTCGAGCACTGTACTTACAATACGGCCGAGACAGTTCCACCTGGGGACATTCTTGGAACCCACCGAGCCCTTCATGGTCCTGTGGACAGGAGCCACCTATCACCAACAGAGGCCTGTAAAAAGCACCAGCCAACATTGGAATCAAATCAAATAGTCGCTATATTATTACTATCATTGCTTTTGAAACATCAACACAACCAAGGTATATGAATAGGAATGCAAGATGAATATAGTCGAGTGAGGTGATCTGTAAAGCATTGTTAGCCTTTGACTTAAACCAGCTGTTTCTTTAGCAGGATCATTATTGTAAGTGAAGAGATCAGGAACAGTTGGGGTGAGGCTTGGTCCTGAAGTAAACTCAATCAATTTGATGGTTCAAACTTTACGGTCATTGTGTATTAATCTTTAATGGGGTTTGTTAAGGAAATACCCCCGCCGCAGCAAACCTGCCGACTAAGCGAATTTCCATTTGTCTGAATTGATTTTCAGTTAAATATATTTTAATAACATTAGGTTTAACGAGTACCTAGGTTTGCTGCTACAAGGAAACTAATAAAATGTGTGTTTTTGAGTAAAATATTGATAGCTTAGTACAAAATAAATAAATTTGCCAAGTTTGATCAAAATATATTCATAAACAAGCAAACTACAACATTTGACAATATTCTCCATAAGAATAACATGGGAATTTTAAATTTACAATTTTTTTAATTTTCTCCGTTACTAATAATCGAACAAAAATACTTTTATATACTAAATTATTAGTTTTTTTAAGCTTTTTAAAAAGGTCTAAAGAGAAATTGGGAAATTTTGTGTTTTGAGGGTCAAAAGTGAGAAAAACCAATTTTCACCCCATAAAACCCCCCCCCAAAAACCCCGTTCCCATGGTCCGATCGTGCTGGTTCGCGAACTCATTCAAGTTTATCCCGCTTTACCTTTAAACCAAATTTCATCAAAATCGGACAAAAATTACTCAAGTTATCGCGTTCACGGACGTGTATATCTATATAAATAAAATTAGAGTTTTGTCTGTACATTGCTTAGAATAATGAACTTTTTGGTTATTTTTACATTTCATAGGTCAGAGAAACCGAATCAAACCTTATCTCAATTTCTGTCTGTCTGTCTGTCTGTCTGTCTGTCTGTCTATCTGTCATTCTCTTGGTAACGCTAAAATACGCACTTTATTACAACTACTCCTCAATAACTATAGCACTGTCCCGCCTGAAACTTATTTTCCAAATACTATACATATATGAGATGGTTTTAGACGTATTTCATCGAATATGAGACAGTTAGATATTTAACAGTAAACCCTTGAAAATCAAGTTTTTGTCGATTTTTGACGTGGAATTTCTGGAAGCCCATGTTAACCTTATGAGAAATGAAATTATTGAATCTTAACAGCTGTTTCAATTAAACAAGTTGGTTCTGTTCTGTGATGTTCAATAGCATTAAAGTTACAAGGATTACCAACAGGGTGCAGCACTAGCACTATTATTTCTTTTACATTTATGACAACAGCTAATTTGCAACCTGGAGGCGAGTGAGCGTAGCGAACGAGCTAACCTGAAGGCAAGTGAGCGTAGCGAACGAGCTAACCTGAAGGAAAGTGAGCGCAGCGAACGAGCTCCAACATACAGGTGAGTGAGCGTAGCGAACGAACTTCAACCAGGACGTGATTGAGCCATGCAAACGAGATCAGATAGTAAAAATAAAAGTAAGCCTACCGTTATAGGATCGACCGGCAGACACAGAGGTAATTTAACCTTTTATTGATTGTCATACCGATCCGGAACAACAAAAAACAACATAAAATGAAGCTATGTATAATAGTTTGGCCAGCATATCTTAAAATATGCAAACCAACTGCTGTTCGTTATATAAGAAGGTTTCAACTGAATATTATAAGATCCCCGTGCGTAGAACGGGTACACAGCTAGTATATATATACATATATACAAGTCTATATATATATATATATATATACATATATAAAAATTTGAACGAATAGTGTTTTTGGCCTCTGGGGACATCAAAATGAAAAAGTAAATCGGTCCCGGGTCTAGGTCTTACCGTGCCACCTACGGTAATAGCTACTTCCCTATAGGGAAATTCGCTAAAAAGCAGTTAAAAACCAGAAACCCCAAGTAATTGTGAAATAATTTTTAGAAAATGATATATACCAATATCCAATTATGTATAAAGCAACTAAGCCGTATATTTTCATCCCATGAACACATTTACAATCATTCAAATTAGTAAAAATCACCTGTCGGAGTAACAATGTTGCCAATATCTATTGTATAAATTGTGTAACTATGTGTAGTTGCCATTACAGTGGCAATGCAAATGCTATTATTTATTGTTTAGCAACGTTCTTACACAAGGTTTTACTGCCTAGAAATAAGTGGTATAAGTTACATGAGTTTAGGTCCCTAAAATAAGTTATAGAGAATATATATAAAGATATAGATGTAAACAAAGATTGGTGTAAAATATTACGTCAATGATAGAGATTTTCACCCTATACAACGAATGTCCTCTATTTTAATCATGGCACAATGATAAGGTCACTGACAGCTGATGTCACAAAGTTGTCTTCTGATTCTTGAGACAATTCTGGTTGGATTCAAGTTTGGTTACGTTTTGGTATTTTAAGACCTTACACCTAATCTTTAATCTTTATAGGTATATTACAAGATCGCAGCAACATCCACGATCACCCACTGCAGTTGTGATTTTTTACTTTGCACTTTACACAACTGTCCTTGAAGCGCCGTCAATGAGTGGAAACCTTTTTTGTAAGCTATTGGTGACGATGATTAAAAAAATGTAAGTTTCCCAGCACTAATGCACACTGATTCACGGTATTTTCCCTGGTTATCAAAACTCAAGAACAATTGTTGCACTTACGATTAATTAAACCGGTTAAGTAAAGCACAACGTTTTTAATCTAACTTGGTTTGGATGTGCTAACAAAACTTGATCAGAAATGGTTGCGGTATTTGTAAACAACTTTAATGTAAACATATCAGTGACAGCTAGAAGTGAGAACTAATCCAAACAGCTGATCGTTATTTCATCAAATGTAATAGTAAACATTGGGGGAAAATTTGACAAAAATCGAACAAAATTGGGTTTTTGACGGTTCGTTATTTTGTTTTCAAAGAAGCGAGGGCACGTTTTTATAGCCAAAGACACTCTCACCAATACGGTAAATACAGAAAAATGATTGGAACCTTGATCGATACTCTAGTTTTCTAGGAGTAGGCAGCGTAAAATGACATTTTGGTGTCACAGACGGAATGACAGAATGGACAAACAGACAGACAAACAGAAATGGAGATAAGACTCGTTTTGGCTTTCTTAGAATATGAAACGTAAAAATAACCAAAAACTGCATGATTCTAAGCAATGTACAGACAAAACTGTAATTTTATTTATATAGATAATTTCTGAAGTACTTTTACATTCTCCCCCTATACCATAGTATATGGAGAAAGTATTGTTTTCGTAAAAAATTTCGAGTTTGAGTTTTGAGTGGTTTTGTGTGGTTTTTGAAGTGATGTGTGTGTGTGTGTGTGTGTGTTTGTATGTTTGTACAGAGCTACAGACCACACCTGTGGTCTGATTTTGATGAAATTTGGTATGTAGGTACTAATCCAAAGTATCTCTCTAGGTTTTTTCGTTTAAAAAAAAATCTAGATTTTTGATGGTAAAACCCAGAAAATTACAGAAAAATTGAATTTCTCCATATGTGTATATATTATATGGCCATATTATTATTTCAAACATTGTCTTCAAAGATGTCCAAAAACATAAATAGCGAATCAGCATGATCGGACAATGGGAACGGAGTGTTATGGGGAGTTTTACGAGGTAAAAATTGGTTGTTCTAGTTTTTGAACTTCAAAATGAATTTTTTTTTTTTTCTTTCTCAACTATTTTGAAGAAGTTAAAAAAAAACAAATAATTTAGCATATAGAAGTGTTTTTGTATGGTTATTGGTTATGGACAAAATTTAAAAAATTTTAAACTTAAAATTTCTAGGTTATTCTTAAAATCTTATGGCGAATAAGTAACTTAAACAGTTGTAGCCTAGTTTTCTTGTTTATGGATATATTTTGATCAAACTTGTCAAATGTATTTATTTCAGCTTATATTTTACAAAAACACACTTTATTACCCTTTCTGTAACAACAAACCTAGGTACTTGTTAAACCTAATGTCATTTAAATAGATTTAATTGAAAATCCAATCAGGTAAATGGAAATTAGTTTAGTCTGCAGGTTTGCTGCGCAAGAGTATTTGTGATTATCAAACTGTGAATGTACCCATTATAAAGCAAAGAGTAATTTTCTACTCTTAAATGAAAACAAATAAACCTTTAGCATAACTCACACCCAATGTAGAAATAAACCTACCAGCAATTGACTTTAGCATTTGCCATTCCTCCGAACACATGAAGTAGACCAGGGCCAGAGACCACAAGACATACAGCAGGTTTCCGAGTGAGATAGCCAATAGCTTGCGCTGCGTAACATGCAGCTTGTTCATTGCGCATTCCCACATAATGTAGACCAGCCTGTTGGAGAGCAACGCTCAACTCTATCACAGGTATACCGACGATGCCAAAAACATACTCCACCCCCTGAAAAATACTCAATATTTCAGTTTTCAAGTAGACTTACTAAGTTAATTGGTTACAAATTTTGAGAATGTAATATACCTAATTTTCAATTTTACTTAGGGCTTTTGAACTTAAACCTGTTTGGATATTTAGGAGCCATCTTATGTTTTAAACGTCCTATCATCAATTTGAAAATAAATCACTTGATTGTAAGATTTGGAATTCAATTGACACTAAATGCAGTGCATAAAAACAATCTAATAGTAAGATAGGCTGATTCAATCATGCAATAAAACTGACAATATCTTGGATTATGGTCAATTTAAGTTTAACTCTCACTTAAGAATAAAGAGATCAATTTAATACTTAATTCCACATTAAGTTAGGTGCGATTCCCCCGAGCGACAAATCAAGAGAGTTGGCTGAGACTAGAATTGTCGCAACCAGGCGACATACCAGTTCACACGGCCAATAACTCCACTGGATTTCAAGTGTGACCTTAACTTGTTTACTGCTGAAAACCTTTACAATGGCGCTCCCTAAACTGCGGGCGGAGCCCCGGCGCGCTACTGAATCAGCGATCGCAATTGGCATTGAAATATCTCAGTAAGACGAATCACAAAAGAACAGTGATGATTGTTCTGCGTTACCCCGAAAGTGGACGTAGTTCACTGAAACTATAAACTAAACTAAAACTAAAAATGGGTAATTCTGAGCAATTACTTGGTCAACCCCAATTTCTTTCATACTTTACTATGGTCATCAGGATGTTATTAGAAAACAAGAAACATACGGTATAATTGTAAGCTACATATAACATACAATTGTAAGCCCCGCAAGGCCATCGTACAGGTTGCAGAGCGATAAGAACTTTCAAATTCCAAGCGATAACAGTGGCTTGCGGGAGACGGGCAGAAGGCCAGTTGTGACAGTACCGTTAAGGCTATGGCTAGGGATTCCTCTGATAATCCTTTTTTATGTGACGGGTGTGAGAACACGTTACTTAGTTTCACGGTTTTAAGCGAAGATCAGGAAAAGTTAACACGTTTTAAGTACGAACACAGCGTTTTTCAACGTACCAAAGTGTGTCCACAATGTGGCGGTTCGATGACATTAAATGAAGAAAAACACATGTTTAACTGTTGGAATAGAATCGAGTCTACACTATTTGTTTCGGGCTATCAGTGAAGTTTACAACGGGGAACCATTGCGACAGAACACTGATCAAGTTGCCAATGACTTGGATGAGGTCGTTGAACCCGGCGATTACTGAGGTACCTAATTTCTATTTGTATATAACATATACTAACTTTCCGGGGCTGAAATATGTTTTTTTTAGTTTCACATACATCTCTAAGGCCAGTTGCGACAGTAGGCCTACCGTTCTGTTTGGTTAGGTTAGGTTAATTCATAACCTAACCTAACTTAACCTAACCTTGCGGGAGCTTAAATTATATGTTTCTTGTTTTCTAGGTAAGAACATCCTGATGACCATAGTAAAGTATGAAAAAAAATTGGGGTTGACCAAGTAATTGCTCAGAATTAACTTACCTAAAAATGTTGTAGGCTTAATGTTTTGTTTTTTTACTTACTTGCAGCTTTAAAGCTTCAGCTACTATCTGATTTCCATCTAAAACTTCACTAGGATCACTCATGATCAAAAGATTGTAGACTAAAATCCGCTTTTACTGTAGTTAGGCCTGGAGTGGTTTCTTCGAAACACCGACGACCGACCCGACACTAAAAAATCAAAACAACAGACAACGATGTCAAAAAGTCAAAGTCAAACTCAAAACAAAACAAATAGCCTAAAGCAAATCAACAAAATGTGTAAGTAAAAATAAACGTCAAACGTCCATTGCCTTTCAGCTTTCCGTTCTCACCACTTCATGGTCATATCCATTCTTCCATTGTCTAATATCATCATATCAAATATGTAATCCTATTAAATTATTAATAAATGAATCATAATTAGTCACGGGCGGCAGGCGCTCGCGCTGACGTTGATAGTCTCGCAGACGCAGACTCGCAGTTGTTATTTCATTTCATTTTTCTTATCATTGCCGCGTTCGTTGTTAGTGAGTAGCCACCATTTTTCTACATGAAACTCGGAAGTTCGTGGAAAAAAAATATATAATTTGGAAGGGAAAGGGTGGTGTGGTAGTGCCCCAAGTGCCCATGAAAGTTCCACCATAGATTAAACTTACTCCTCATGTTTAATCTATGGTTCCACCATAGACTAACCAACACAAGTAAGTAGACTTCTCATCCCATTGTAAATTTTGAAGCACGTTTTTCGTGTCTAGTTCATGTACGTGACACAAAGGCGCTAAGGGAGTATGTTTTATCTATGGTTCCACGTAGTACCATAGACGTAGTACACAATCAATGGTGTAGTTCATGAACAAATATTCATTCCCTTTTAGCGAATTTCCCATTATAGGGAATAAGCCACTAAGAGTAAGCTCATTCTTTCCGTATTGGAACAAAACGAAGGTAGTGAATTTTCGGCCTATTCGGATTCCAAGGTACAAACACTTAGCGGTCAAAGGTAACATTATTATATGTAATTGGCCCAGCAGTCATAATGTGCTTATTGGGGGCGACGTGAATAGAGAATTTGACATCACAACAGAAAAACAAACCGTTGAAGATTTTTTAAACCTTCTTAGACAACACAACTATTTTCGTAAAGATTTTTCCCCAACACGAGGTGAGCATTGCCTTGATAATGTCTTTGTAAGGATAGGCACTGACAATGTTGCTAGCTGTAACAGTAATGTAATATTCTTTCCTTTTTATGACCATGATAGTATAATCCTTAAGTTTTAATTCAAATGTTTTTTTCTGACAATGAGCCTATCGGTTACCTTAGAACAGAGTTGTCCAAGTCGAGCCTTTTGGACATAACTAACTGATAGCCTATTATCAATTGACTGGGATCTGATTTTCCAAAGTCTAACTGTTGAAGCATCAATCTGGTTTTCATATTTTTTTTTAAAGGTTACTCACAGTGTACATATATACAGGATGAGTTTTAATTGCCCCCCCCAAACTTTTTTCTACATTTTTTCAAATATCAATCCCAGACCACTTCCAAACATTGTTGGGTAGTAAGTACTTCATTTTGACAAGGTGGTCATTTCCGGCCGCCATCTTGGATCCGCCATATTGGATACAAAATATATTTTCAAATGTAAAGGTGGGTATGTGACCCATTATTTCGAACTAGATTTTAACCCTGATTACAATGCCACAGACCGTTTTAAAAAATCTTGATCCATTCCAATGTTATGACACCTTTAAAAAAATTTTTTAACCCATTTTAACATTGTGCATGTACAAACTAAGACCATAATCTCAAAATAGTGTTAGATAAAGATATACTACCAGTCATTGTCGACCTATTTTCACTTGGTTATGACGGATGTATTTTTTCGGCCGCCATCTTGGATCCGCTATTTTGAAATGTGATAAATTATTTTAAATATGAAGGGGTGTTGTGACCTATCATCTCGAATTACTTTTTTAAGCTGAACCCAATTCCATGATCCGTTTTTCATTTTCATATTTTGATTTTGAAATATTGACATTTTTAACAAAAAAGTTGCAATATTTCATAATGAAGTACTTACTACCCAACAATGTTTGGAAGTGGTCTGGGATTAATATTTGAAAAAATGTAGAAAAATTTGGGGTGGGACAATTAAAACTCATCCTGTATATATATATATATATATACGTTATGCACTCCGAAACCGCTCGACAGATTGTAAGGAAACTTTCAGGCATTATTAAGCATCTTTCAAGGATGGTTCGAGTGAAGTTTGGTGCAGATCCGTCAAAAGGGCTCTGCCCCAGAGGGTTTTTAAGTGGGCCAATGTCAGACTTTTTGATCTACGATGTTTACAAATAAATATAATTCAAAAGCAGATGTTAACTTTCACCAACTGTTTTGTAGGTTTGAATAATCACAACATTCTGTATTAGCAATAGTCATGATTTGAAATAGTGCCACAGTGTTTCTACAGAGTGCAGCACAGAAATTATTTTACTTTTGAATAAGTCCAAATGTATTAAACCCCAATTGCAGCACACCTGTGCACTTAACAACGTTTAAATTCTTCAATGTTAAATATTAAAACATAAAAACCTTTATCAAAGTTTTATAATCAATAAAAGGGATGACTTTTTTCAATTTATGACAACAGGTAATAATTTGCAACCTAAAGGTGAGTGAGCGTAGCGAACGAACATCAACCTGGAGGCGAGTTAGCGTAGCGAACGAGCTAACCTGAAAACAAGTGAGCGCAGCGAGCGAGCTCCAACCTAAAGGTGAGTGAGCGTAGCGAACAAACTTCAACCAGGACGTGATTGAGCCATGCGAATACTTATGAAGTTAAACGGGGCAAAACCCGCGGGTACAGCTAGTAATATATATAATTTAAAATATATGTTTTGTGTTATAAGACATTTCTTTTATTTTTACTTTCCGGAACACTTATTGTAATGAATCACCGAAAAAGTTTGCTTAAAGCTTCAGGCAACAAAACGAGGCCACCACTCTGTGGTAAGTTAAAGAAGGGAGTATGTTTGATCTATGGTTAAAGTAAGTTCTAAAATGTTACCTTACCTACTACATGCTACTACCTTTGACCATCGATCTCTATTATTAATAATAGAGATCATGCCTTTTTGCTTTAGTCAATGCTACTACGCTACTACTGTTGTTTTGTTTGTTTTGTTTTGTTATTATGAGGAATTATGAAAATGAAAATATTTATGTTAAGTTTGGTCTTGGTGGTTGAGTGGGGTCTGACTTACGCCTCTTTCACACGAAGCGGCGCGCGCCGTGCTGCGTCCGCCGTGCGGCGCTACGCCGGACAAGCGTGTGTCTTCACACTAGTATGGTTTCGTGCGGCGCGCGCCGTACGGCCCTCCTAAATATTTATTATTTTCTGTTCAGTTGTGGCTTTTAAATTAATACTCCACTTAAAAGTTCAAATAAAATGAATACTGTAGGCTAATTTAATTTCCGTTCAGTTGTGGCTTTTAAATGAATACTCCACTTAAAAGTTCAAATAAAATTAATACTGTAGGCTAATTTAAAATATAAAAACTAGTGCACCTGTTGCTCGAATTCGAGCAATTGCAAAATATTATACCCCCGCCGCAGCAAACCTGCAGACTTAGCGAATTTCCATCTGCCTGATTGGATTTAAACTAAAATGTCTCCTTAAAAATATCACATTTATTCCCTATTTAAACAGAATTAGTTTAATGAGTACTTAGGTTTGCTGCAACAGGGAGGGTAAAAAAGTTTTTTTTAATGTAAAATATTAAAAGGTACTGTGGTTTAGTAAGAAATTAATGTATATTCCAAATTTGATCAAAATATGTTCATAAACAAGCAAACTACAACAGTTTACTTATTCCCCATAAAAATAACATGGGAATTTTAAAATTACAATTTTTTTGAATTTTCTCCGTAACAATTAGGCGCATAGTAACGCTTCAATATACTAAATTATTTGTTTTTTTAAGCTCTACAAAATGGTTTGAAAATAAATTGTGAAATTTTGTGTTTTTAGGGCCAAAAATGGGAAAAACCTATTTTTACCCCATAAAACCCCCCATAAACCCCCGTTCCCATAGTCCGATCATGCTGGTTCGCGAACTCATTCAAGTTTATCCCGCCTTACACCTTTAAACCAAGTTTTATCAAAATCGTAAAAAAATTACTCAAGTTATCGTGCGGATGGACACACACATATATATATATATATATATATATATATATATATATATACAGGGTGTCCCGGAACTCTCTACCAATATTTTAGGGCATTGTTCCTGGGTAAGAAACATATCTAAATATCATATTTAAATTGTCCGGAAGTCCTTAGTTACTCAGATAGCCGCCATTTTGTTTTTTTCACTTATTAATTTTTTTCTGAAAATTGGTTAAACATACGAAGTTGAAACTTTGCAACAACATTTATGACAACTAGACAAAGCTACAAAAAAATTATGACGATTTTTCAAATTCATAAAACAAAATGGCGGCTGTTTAAAATTTTGTTTCTTAAATTACTCAAAAACCGTTGATTTTACAAAAATTTTACAAGAATAACTTTTTTAAGGCAATTTTATTACAAATCGATCGACACCTTAATCTTTAAGATCAAACGAGTATTAACTGAGATATGGCAGTTTTAGTGATACGTGACCGCCAGATATTAGTTGCAGCACATGCTGAAAGCGGTCACGTATCACTAAAACTGCCATATCTCAGTTTATAATCGTCCGATCTTAAAGATTAAGGTGTCGATCGATTGTTTATAAAATTGCCTTAAAAAAGTTATTCTTGTAAAATTTTTGTAAAATCAACGGTTTTCGAGAAATGTAAGAAACAAAATTTTAATCAGCTGCCATTTTGCTTTATGAATTTGAAAAATCGTCATAATTTTTTTGTAGCTTTGTCTAGTTGTCTTTAATGTTTGTGCAAAGTTTCAACTTCGTATGTTTAACCAATCTTCAGAAAATAATTAATAAGTGAAAAAAACAAAATGGCGGCTATCTGAGTAACTAAGGACTTCCGGACAATTTAAATATGATATTTAGATATGTTTCTTACCCAGGAACAATGCCCTAAAATATTGGTAGAGAGTTCCGGGACACCCTGTATATCTATAGATATATAAAAATTTGAACGAATGGTGTTTTTGGCCTCTGGGGACATCAAAATGAAAAAGTAAATTGGTCCCGGGCTTAGGTCTTACCATGAGACCTACGGTAATAGCTACTTCC